GTTCGTAGAAACGTTTATAATACTCTAGTGATGACGAAATTGTTCTGGAAATGAATTCCTCGACGCTTTTACTGTCACTCGCGATTCTTCTCTCGATGATCACGGCGATCGTCGAAGGAATTTCGAGACAACCGAGGGAAATTGATCACAATCGTTTCTTTACGCTTTGATTAGGATAGAGAAGAGAGTTGGAGGTAAGGAGGAATTTAGTTTCATCGATCACAATAATACTGTTCTAGAAATGAACCTTGGGAATTCCTCGACTTTACTATCACTCGCGATTCTTTTCTCGATGGCAAAAATCACGGTGATCTTCGAATGAATTTCAAGAATAACCAAGGGAAATTGATCACAATCGTTTCTTTACGCTTTCAGTAGGATAGAAAGAAGGGAAATCTGAGGCAAGGAGGAATCAGTTTCATCGGGCACGAGGGATATGCACGTGTGCGTGACAAAGTATCATTCAGCTATTCAACATTGCGATAACATGTTCAAGCAAGTGGGAACGAAAGGACGTGTATAGTCTTGCTATCATTAAATCGCAAACAAATGATTTAATCACTCGAACAGCAAGAGATCACCGAATTTGTAAGACAGAATTTTGTCAGAGCAAGACTATACACGGTGAGGTGTTAGAAGAATACAAACAGCTTAGCCCCTTGCCTTACAATAACGTGTCAGATAATTGGAGCAGATTTCAAATAGAATTTAACAAGCATAGACGTTTACTCTATCCTTTAGAATTCAAATGAGATAGTATTCTTTTCTTATCAATTATCACGATTTAGAGCAAAGATTCATAGAGAATATACGTATAACTTTGTTTCCCTTAATAAACAATTACTGACAAAGTAGTTATATCGATCACAGTTGAGAAATAAATCATAGGGCAAGGGGTCGTTAACCCTTTGCGGACGAGTCTTCTACTAACTCGCGAACAAATGGTGTTATTAGTCGAACAGCAACAGTTCAGAACGTAGTTTCCTTTTTTTCTAACGTTGATTCATTTATACGATTAATTTAATTTTCATTATGTAAAACATAGCGTTACAACCGTCACAAATATGTAACGCTAGCAACGAACGTGTTAAGCAACTGACACATAATTCAACTTCAGGTGTTGAAGGTTTCGTACATTTCAAAGAATCTTCGTTCGCAAAGGGTTAACCGTTTGAGTCCCACGGGTTTGCAAAAACCCGGTCGAAAACTGGCAAGCGGCGCGATCGCGCTTCTTTCTTTTCGATTTCGAAACTGACGCTTTTCTATTCTGGCAAAAACAAATTTTAAATACCGCGATCGTTGCATTCTTCCAGTCTGAGGCGAGTAATAACAGAAATAAAAATGAATTACAAGGAAAAGAAACAAATAAGCTTCATCCGATACGAACTGATAGACCGCCATTTTAACAGAGAAGCGCCATCGCGCCGCTTGCGTTTCAATTTCGGAACTGAACGACGCTTTTCTATTTTTACAAAAACAAGTATTAAATAGTGCAATCGTTACAGTCTTCTAGTCTGAGGCGAGTAACAACAGAAATGAAAATGAATTAGAAGGAAAAGTAAATAAACTTCGTCTGATACGAACTGATAGACCGCCATTTTAACAGAGAAGCGCCATCGCGCCGCTTGCGTTTCAACTTCGAAACTGAACGACGCTTCTCTATTTTCACAAAAACAAACTTTCAATAGCACGATCGTTACATTCTTCCAATCTTAGCAAAAATAAAAATGAATTACAAGAAAAAGAAACAAATAAGCTTCATCCGACACGAACCAATAAACCGCCATTTTTAGATGCAACAGAGAAGCGCCATTCGGAACTCAAACGGTCAAAGAAAACACAACAAAGAAGAAGAAGTAGTAGAAGGAAACGGTAAGTAACGTTAATTAAACGTGCGCTTAGTGCAAACGGAAAACCTATTAAAACAGAAAACACATCTGTAACGTGTGAAGCCGTTCGGGTGAGCAAAGGTTCATTCGAATGTATTTTTTTTCTCTTTTTTGATTAGCGCTCGAGTTGCTTGCGACGTTGCTATTCGAGAAACTGCGAGCCAAGCAAATTTACCTCGGAGGAATCTGTTTAATGTCTTGGAAGATAATCCGGCCCCTGAGCCCGACACCCTCCGGCGTGATTGTTCGACGAGCTCGACAGATTCCGAGAGTTCGGAGGGCTCCGAGGCCGGCGGTACTCTCGGAAAGGGTGCGATGGGTATCGATGATCGTCGCACGACATCGTCACCGGCCGCGCTCGGCACATCCGACATTGACCCCGGCACTTGCATTCGCCCTGGCACCGACATTGGCATTGGCATTGGCATTGGCATTGCCCTTGGCAATGACATTGGCATTGGCGAGGCTGCGGCAGCACCGTGAAGGTGGGACGATATGTACCACCATAAGCCGGGGCTTGCCGTTTGCCTAAGTGTGTTTAATTGTATTCTGTAACGGCATGACGATCGACGCGCCGTGGACACACGCGGCTACAAAATCTCCCGTCAACGAACCAGTGAGCAAAACGAACGACTCAACGGAACAAACGGGCACAGTCAGCCGATCAACCAACTAGCGGATACGACAGCAAACGAACGAACTGAAAACCTCTCCTGCTCTTCTTCGACGGTTATCTTTGTCGATTAGTCGCGGTATAAGAGGGACCTCGAATCTTGTTTAAACCTTCGCACTCGAGAGGCGACTCCCAGTCGCCAGATGGTTTGATACAGGGAAATTAGAAACTTTGGTGTTTACCATGAATCTTTGTATACTGCGTCGATACGTGAAATATTGAAAGAAAATTTGCTACATAATTTATGTATGATTTCTTGTTAAATTCATTTTAAAGAATGTTGTGTACATCTGATTAGGAGGTATAGAATACTTCAAGTGAAAAACTTTCGAGTGCAAAGGGTTAACGTGGGGGAACGTGAGAAATTTGTTGCAATGCTCGTTTAGCTTTCTGTTTCAAGTACGAGTCTGTGTGAGGAACGAGCAGGAGGTAAAGGCTCGCGAACGAAAAGGGCTAACCACCGAGTGCACATGCGGTCTATTGTCTTTGCGATGCTGACTGATCGTGGGTTTCTGTGAGACTTGGGCAGAACTGAAGGAAACGGATTGAACGGTGTATAGATACAGAACACTTCGTTGGGTGTGTATTGTATGCGACATTCGTTTTCCACAGTGATTGACACTATGCCGTCCGGTGACACGGTGTCGCGTGCGAAGAACAAATGCAAAAAGAAATCTTACATTTATTTATATATATTCTCGAGATTTTGTGGAAATAGAGGGACAGAATTGAGAACTATTGACATTAGTGAAAATTGAGAAAGTATCTGGAATCAAATGCAAAAAGAAATCTTACATTTATTTGTATATATTCTCGAGATTTTGTGGAAATAGAGGGACAGCATTGAGAACTATTGACATTAGTGAAATTCGAGAAAATCTTGAGAAAAGATCCGAAGGAGTTCTACCAAATGAAAGATTCCTGATCACGCGTGCGGACGGCATAGTGATTAACCCCTTGCCCTGCAATATAATAGTGTTAGACTCGTGATGAGGATTTCAAAGAGAATTTACCAAATGTAAATATTATTCAATTTGTGTGAATGCGGATCACATATTATTCCTTTCTTATCAATGATTGCATACGTTGACATAGAATAAGACTGGAATTCTCTTTAATTTTCAGTGAATTAATTATTCTTCAATAACAAAGGCTAATGATATTGAAAATAATGGTTTACTATCACAGTAGTCATATCATCTAGCTACTTATGTTACTAAATATTTTCATTTAGAATCAAGCTTTTTATTGTAATTTTCGAAGCTCCGAAGTTCAGACAGAAACCATAGGGCAAGGGGTTAACTGCAGAGAACGAAGAGTGGAAAGATTCAATGGAACTGCACGGAAAACTAACTGAGTCATATGATTAAGGTCAACGGAGATTTCAACATTTCTACAGATCTCTGTACCGCATGCGACGTTGCATTCAGCTTGGAGAACGCGGTACGCTTTGACGCGTCAACCCTAATCGCACCACGTCATAACGAACCATACTATGTGACTCTCAATCACCTATGAGAATAAAAGAAATGATTAGAATATTACTGTCATTTATAGGGTCCAAGTTTTCAAAGCCCAAAGAAACTGTTGGAAATGCAGTCTGAAATAATCAAATAAGTAAAAAGTTCAAACGTGACTCAAACCGTGGTCCGATTAGGGTTGACCAGAACAAAATTCGCCGATGCAACTAATCTCACCGTGAACGCGCAAGCGATGGAAAGTATATGAAACGAAGAAACTTGCGACAGCGTGCTTGGAACTACGAATGCGGTGCTCGATACTCCGTTCTAACGATTCTTTGCCAAACTCTCGCATAACAGAAAGATCAAAGGTCCGAGAAGAGGAAGAGGAGGAGGGAGAAGAAGAGGGAGGGGAAGAAGAACAAGAAGAAGTATCCAGCAAAACATGTGAACAAAATGTGAAAAGAATAATATGCATCTACTGTACATCGGGCAACTGAGCTTGAAAGAGTCACCTAAAGAGTAAAGAGAAGAGCAAATGATAGAAGTATACCTAGAAAGCTTTTTGTTAATAGTTAGAATCTTCTGAGTCCATTGCAGAAAACAAGATCCGCCTACACTCACCGACCGTCAGAAGCGACGTTACATAGGAGAAAAATATGAAAAGAATACTCGTGAATAGGTACATGTATACGGAACAATATCACACATTTTATACTAATACCGATATAACATCGAGACACTGTACACGCGCGGGGATCGAATTTCAAGATGGATCGTTCTGTAAGGAGACAGGAACGGGAACGGAGATTTACGTCGTTTACCAGAGTAAATGGTCTAGACGGGAAACATGGAGGATAACAAGGAAGGAAAAAGTTTTGACAGGAGATATCGACGTGAGAACGTTCAAAGAGTCGTTTCTGAAGGAACTAGTAACGATTTTATACTAACCATCGTCCGAGACGTCGCCCGAAACTGCCTGCTTCCGTTGCTGATGCATCGACGGTGAAAGCGACGAATGGGAAACGTCGTGTGTTTCGTGGAGAGAGTCCAAGCTCCCGTACCGGATCGGCGGTGATGTCAAAGGTTCCAAGGTTGACTGCAATTAGGGAGGTCATTGTTAATGAAGGTATCAGTATTATAGAATAGTAGCTTTAATGCTTTTGCGGTTTGGAATGTTATATTTATAAGTGGCTTTCGGGGGAGAAGAGTGTCCAAAGGGAGTTTGTTTTGAATGTTTTGACATTATTGCAGTTGGCGTCGTCAGGGGTTGAAGGTACAGTGATACTGGTGTGTGTTTAGGAAGACTGTGCTTATGTAGGTGGGTCATGTTCTGGATCAGTAGTCACTAGTAGTTTTTAATTGGTCAGCTGAACAATATAAGTATCTAGTTCATGTTCTGGATTAGTAATCACTAGTGGCTTGTACTTGGTCAGCTGAACAATATCAGTGTCTAGTTCATGTTCCGGATCAGTAGTCACCAGTAGTTTTTAACTCATCAGCTGAACAATATAAGTCTCCAGTTCATGTTCCAAACCACTAATCACCAGCAGCTCTTAACAAATCAGCTGAACAATTAAAAACAAAAAGCTGCTGACTACTAATCCAGAACACGAACCAAGTACCAATATAAACAGTCTCCACAGACCACGTCTTCAACCCCTGAAGCTGCACCAATGCAAACCCTTGAGACCAAACTCTACTGAACTCTCTCATCCAAAAGCCCCTTACAAATCTAACACCACACAAACCTCCACTCATCCCAGAAGTATTATCTACACGCTACAACAACCCCTTACCTCCTCTTTATCCGTCTTCAATTTCTTCACAATAATATCAGTAACATTATCCGTCGGTGGCGGAGGCGGCGGCGTGGGCGTCGGCGTCGGTGGCGGCGGCGGCGGCGACGGCGGCGTCGGTTGCGTCGCCGGCATCGACTGCGCGACCGCTGCAGCAGAGTCATTACCATGCGCGAATCGTCTCGCAGTGGTGGGCTCCTGCTGCACGGCGATCGAGAGAGAAGGGATTCTACCTGTCGACCTTGATCCGATATCGAGGTACGACTTATCGGCGAGCCTGTCGTTGAACGCGGACAGCCTAGCTGTATTGGCAAAATAATTCGGCGCGACGGTGGTGTCGACTATACTGTCCAGCAAATCGTCGTTCTCCATCTCACGTTTCGCGAGCTGCCACTCCATCTCGATCCTGCGCCGCTCCTCCTCCCTCTTCTCGGCCTCGCGCCGCTGCCGGTTCTGGTCCCGCTGCAGCATCGCCTTCGTCTCCTGCTCGAACCTCCTGATCCGCTCCTGCGTGGTCGCGCTCAAGCCGGCGTACGTTCTGATCGTGATCTCGTCGTTGCTCTGTTTCGTCTCGTTCGAGGCGCTCGAGAGCACCGAGCTCGCGTCGAAGCAGCTCAGGCCAGTCTCGCTAGAGAGTCGCGACGACGACTCGGAAGTCGACGAGACGGCCGAGCAATGGGGCGGCTGGATCGCCGAGATCGACTCCGCCGGCGGGCTGAAGTACTTCCTCGTCCTGTCGAACGGCGCGCCGTCGTCGTTGCCGCCGATCGCGTCGGCCATGGCGTCGACGGTGTCCGAGAGCCCGGCCGCGCTGCCACCGCCAGCGATGGCGGCGATGCCCATCGCGGCCGCGTCGACCGTGGCCGACCGGTCCGCGCAGCGGTTCGGCTGGCTCTTGTTCTCGTGCATCAGGACGATCTCGCTGACCGAACACTGCCGCTCGTTCAACGCCATGCTCCGGCGGTTCGCCAAGCTCTCCGCTTCCTGCTTCGACTTCGACTGGAAAGGAAAGTTTCTGTTCAGTTTTCTTGTGGTTTCTCTCTTTTGCAGCAAAGAGTTGTATTTTGTAACGGCATGACTGTCAGTACCAGGGACTGACGCTACTACTGACGGTACTGTCTGCTAGCAGTGCTTTCGGTGACCTCAATTATATTTTCTACAATTCAATAAATCTTCTAAATAAAATATTAGAACAATGGAACTGATACGAGTCATTGAGGTCCTAGATACAATGTAGTTTGTCATTTCTAATAACAATATCTATAGGATTAGTTTCATTTTCAGTATGTAAAACAGGATTATAACAGTCACAAATATGACGCTGGTAGCGAACGTGTTAACTTGGTCTATTTCTTTCTCAACTCTGACTCTGACTATATTTCCTTTAGACACTTTGACTGCCACGTGAATGTATACGTTATCAATGTTAACGTGTTAATCGTGAATACCGATAGAGTTGCACGAACCTTATCCAACTCGTGATTCTCGTTGTCCGTTTCATCCTGTCCTTTTCTCCTTCTTTGTATCTTGCGATTCGCAGCGGATATAATGGACGAAACGATATCTTTCGCGGATGCCATTTCTCGAACACCTGTGTCGCATTAGAACGAACAACAGAAAAAAACAACGGTATGCGGTACACTGCGCTTGACAACTGACAGCAAACATTCCAAGGAAGACCGTGTTCCAAGTATAAAAGCTTTAAAGAATACTACTGGATCATACCTTCCACTTTCTGAATATTATTCAACAAAAGGCTATGATTATTGCTCGGTATCGTGTCTGTCTCGTTAGTGTCAGCCGGGAGGCTTAGATTCACGCTCAGTCTACTCAGGTCATCTAGATCGTCATCCGAGAAGAACCATTCCACCTGAGATACGACCAACATTAATATAACACATCACTGTAACTAATATCAACCTTCCTCTTCGAGGAAAATAAAATAATTAACACATTCCATGCCACTGGAAATTTTGGCTATACCTTGCTTAGTGCACTGATTTTTTCAATGAAGTAACACTAAACCTGCCATTACTGATTTCTTCATTTTGCAATTACCAAAAATACATGTTTCTCTGAGAAATTATTAAATTGATTTAGCAATACACGAACTGAATTATAAGCTAATCAAAGTCTCAATAAATGCACTCTTGAAGTTTCCATGGAGGAATTTCAAAAAGTCAATTCAACTGCTCGGTAGTTTTAGTGTCTTCTTATTATTATCATATTATCTCTTCATGTTTTCGGTGCTTTGCAATCTGTACCGCTACCCTATGCCACAAGTTTCACAAGAAACGTTTCCTCAGAAAAATTCGGCGTGCCACAAATGATGCAAGTGGCATGGAACGTGTTAAACGTGTGTGCAATGTCGTACGTTGTTCAGCAAGCTTTCGACGATCCGACATTGGTGCGACATATCGGTGACCATGGTGACCATATTGTCTCTGGAGCCACTCGCTCGAACCAAAGTAGGGCCGAACACGATAGCTAAATTCTTCGCTTCCATCTTGTTCACTTCGCTGTGCTCGACTATCCTCTTCAGATGGAACATTAGAAACTTCAGAGTTTCAAAGTGATGCTCCGGTAGATCCCGGAGTAGCTTCCGTATAGTTGTCATTCTCCTTTGCGGATCTTCAACCTTATCGGCGTCGATGAACATTGGATACAATTCTGCAGTGAGCAACGAATCAGGCAATTGTCGAAAGAACGATTTGAGAAGAGACGATATTACATTCACGTCGCTCCATCTGGGATCCTGAAAGAAGCAGAGATAAATGGATCAAGAAACGAGTAAACCAAACTCTTAGTGATTCAATCTTCATCGGTAGAAATTGAATATCGTCGATCGATACCTGCAGATTGATATTGTCGAACCCTTTGTTCACGCTTTCGGTCAGATGTGAAATGGCGGCCGTGTTGCCGGGTACTCTGTAAATACCAACGACTTCCAGACCTCTCGCTTCGACGATACTCGTGCACATCTCAACGATCAGTGGTACGTACTCCGAAAATGACGACTGCAAGAAAGAAAGATAATCATATATATGATACTTGATAATGGTCTACGCATCATTCTCAAATTATACGTTGCTAGAACTGTTCAATGAGCAATGAACTCGATAAAGTGTCAAGAATTCCAATTATAATAGAATCCTATTATCTCACACCCTATCCACAGTCAACATATTTCTTCCCAATAACTTCCCCAGTAGTACGTTAATAATACTAACAATATTATAAATCAAATAGGAATTCTCTCTATGTGACACTGTTGAAACGTTTTATTTCTAGTACAGAGAATTCCTATTTGATCTATAATAGTATTATCAACGTACTACTGGGTAAGTTATTGGAAAGCAAAATACGTGACACTGTTGAAACGTTTTATTTCTAGTACTTACCGGTGGACAAAGTTCAAGCGGCACTTTGAAGGTGGCACCCTCAGGTGGTAGTTGCGTGGTCGGCGAAGAAGGTGGTCCAGTTTGTCCATGCATTCTCCGGAGTTGCTTGGCAACTCTGCCCTTCCACGTTTTCGTTTTAGGCGAAACTAAACTTTCGATCGTCTGACTCGGCTTCCGCGTCTTGTTAATCGGCAATTGGCCGGTCGGAGACCGATTCCTGAAGGAGGTCAGCTTCTTGATACCTTTGTGTCCGGGTAATGGACTCAATCTTTGCCCACTCCCATTGTTGCCACCGTTGCCGCCACTATTGCCACCGTTACCACCGTTGCCACTATTGCCATTGTTGCCACTGCTACCACCGCTGTTCGATATCATCATCGTGTCACTGACGTTCCCGCCGATCGTTTGGTACGCCGCGGTGCTGCTGCTACTGGTAGGCCCTGGAGTTTGCGGTACAGCTTGCTGCTTCAAGGTACTATTGTACACTACCTCCTGAACAATACGAGAGAACAGTTCCGTTTACTATTATGAAAATGAATATCAATTAACCACTTGCGCTGGGAAGACGTGCCAGGCGTCATGCTTTTGTTCTATAATTGTCAACTATATGTTGTACATGTTGACAATGTTATTGGATTACGTACTTTAAATTATTTTGACATCCACCAGTTTGTACAAAAAAAATTAGTGTATATATACTGCTGAGTCTCTGACGTTGCCAGCGCAAGTGGTTATTAACCCTTTGCACTCCAAGAGTTTACTACCAAAAATACCCAACACTTTCTGATGAAATCAAGATTCCCAAATATTCTTGAATAAATAAATAGAGCATCGCATTAAGCTTTAATTGAATGAACTAACGTCGACGTGAACTTCAAAGTGAGAAACCCAGAGCACTTCGGACCGCAAAGGGTTAAAGTAGTAGAACGTTGAAAATTCTCTTACGGATGGTTTCTCGGCGGCAGCGTGCTCGTGTAGCGATCGCAACCAAAGCGCCATAGACGCAGCATCTTCGGATTGCAGCAGCACCTCCGCGCTTGGGTTTGCTAAGCGGAGCACGTGTTTACGTTTCGTATAATCCTCCGCAATATCCACCAAGGAGCATCTGACATCCACGCTCTGTGCTACACCCTCGCTTTCGTTGGTCAATGAAGGACTCTGAACAGTGAAACAATGGAATTATTGATCTAGGCTAAGGCCTTTCAGTCCTTTGTGCTGTACGATGGTATTGGACATGTCCATCGGACTAGATATGAACGCACCTGATTTTGACGATCCTTGTAAAAGAAGAGAATCGGTCCACGAAGAACACCCCAGACCTGCTTCCACGAACGATCGGAGGATCGCTGAAAGAGACACGTTGATCAATATAGAATTATGGTTTCTGCATGAGAATGCAGAGAATAAAGTATAAACTAATATAAGTTCTTATTACGACTAATCTCATCTATTAATCTATCAATCTATCAATCTACCAATCTACCAATCTACCAATCTACCAATCTACCAATCTACCAATCTACCAATCTACCAATGTATCAATCTATGAATCTACCAATCAATTAATCCCTTAATCCATCAATCTAGCAATCAATTAATCCATTAGTCTATGAATCTATCAACATATAAACCTATCAATCTATTAATAACAATAAAAAAAATAGGTCTAATAATCTAATCTTATCATATTTACCTTGCCATCGAGCACTGTAAACTTCACATGCAACGGACCCTCACGATCGACTTGTTCAACAATATTTTTCACGACACCAGTCGCCTCTTGACCAGCGCACGTGCTGCTACTGAAAAAGATTCAATACAGTCTCCGGCAAGGTCGTTCGCATTTACTCACTACCCTCTCGGTCGCTACGCCACTACACGTAGAATATTTTCTCCTTTCCGACTTACACAGTACATCACTATATTACCACTGAACTATCACTGAGTGAATGGGGTCGGTGAATTAAGTTAGTAAGTATGGAACACTATGTTCAATCGCAACTGTTAGTCAAAATGCGCGAAGCTGTTAAACCACGACGGATTACAGATTGGGATCGATCAAAGAAATTCAGGTGATTTTACAAAATGACAGAGAGAGAGAGATAGAGAGAGAGGGAGAGAGAGAGAGAGTAATTTAAAGAGTGTTACGACAATTACGATGCCAACGATAAACAAGGGTGAACGCGACGAGAACATTCACCTAACACAACAAGAACGCAAGGCCTCGCAGTCGGCAAATAACCAATTCGCAATTTGCGTCTATGCTTAGCTCAACATGTACTATCCTCACCGAGAGATATTTCTGTTTAAGGAAGCGGTTTGTGTCATGTCCTCGAAGATGCGCCGTAGGGATGCTATATCGTTTGGAATCAGCGATAGCCGCCACCTCTTATGATTGCTGAAAATACGTACGGAGGCAGAGTACTCTCTACGTGTATTCTACGCGGGACAAACGGACGCGAAGGGCGACAGCTTCACGCCGCGGACTGCGCGCGGAGAGCAGACCGTGTACCGAAAGGAACGCTTTGCAAGATCCCACGGGAATCTCGGACTCCGTCGCGACGGTCGCGTGAACACTTACATTCTCGAACTGTGAATCGGCTCGGAATCGCTCAGCTCCAAGTCGCTGTCGACGTGCATTCGCTCGCCCCAGGTCGCCTTCAAATACGACACCCTCCTCGTGGCACGGTCTTCGTCGGCTGGAACGACATGTCGTCACACACGTGTCTACTTTCAGGATCGCGGATCCCTCTACGTTTCACCGATTTCACGGCGAATGTTCTACTACTCTTACCGATCTGCGCGTTCTTCTGCCGCCTGAACACGACCCCGTTACTGTGGACGCTGTCGTTTGTCACCGCACCTGCGAAGAAGTCAGTAGGACAATTAGTGTGATTTTTATGGGAACCGTGTATGTTGGGTTGTAACGTATGGAGTGTCCGGTATTGGTTTATCAGTACTTTAACCCTTTGCGAACGAAGATCATTTCATAAGTGAAACTATAAATTTGATATTTAATATTATACTTTGTATAATGCATCAGTCTGAGAAATATTGAAATAAAATAGCTTAGTTCTTCAATGTTTGTATGCTTTGAAACGTACAAAAACTTTAGTAGATGGAGCTAAATTATATATCAACCGCTTACATAATAGAAAAAACAGAAACTGCGTGCTGATCTCTTACTGTTCGAGTAATTAAATCATCTGTTTGCAATTTAGTCTTCCAAACATGAACATTTAATCTCACCGAAATGCCGACGTTAACAGCTATTTTATTTCAATATTTTTTGAATTGATCAGTTATGCAAGGTATAATATTAAATATCAAATTTTATGATTTTACTGTATGAAATCAAGTGGTGAGTGAGAGTCACCTCTCTAGTACAGAAAGTTAAAAATATTGATTACTAAATAACTGGTTCATTTGAAGCTAATCCTAAATCAGACATTTCATACGTCACAACCTGACGCGGAGCAAGTGTACCAACCATGTTCTACATCCGCAGCTTTCGGGTAACCGTCTTGCTTCTTCGATCCTGCTGATCGCGCAGACTTTTTGTTGTCGTCCTCAACAGAATCACCTGCATTCCCGTAGGAGTCCTCGTTCTCCTTGCCTTTCCCTTTCTCGTTTACGTTCGCGTCGACATTCTCGTTTTCTTTGTCGCGACTCGCCTGCTTCCGTCCGAGAGCTTCCTGCCGCTGCGGCCACCGGTGCTTCACCACTTGCAAACGGTCGCCTATCGACTCCCAGGATTCCTCGCTGTTGCTACGTATTCTCGGACACAGTGTCCCGCTATCCGTGTACCTTGGTAACGGGTTAGACGTCTCTGCATAAATGATGAAACGCGAGTGAGTGAATAGCTTGTTCCAATAATTCTAGCCAGGTGGAAATGAACTGCCAGATACTAGCAAATTCTTCATTCGTTAGGTCGCTGGATTAGAAGAAGAATTAGAAGAAGAATTAATAGAAGGGGTAGAAGTAGAAGAAGGGGGGAAACGAACAACAGAAGAAATGTAAGGAGAAAAGAAAAGAAGAGAGGCACACAGCTACAGAAACAAGGTTACCGTGATCAACTTATGGATAGATCATCGCGTTAAAGACATCAAAGACATTAAAGACATTAAAGACAATCTGTACCAAGAAGGTTGCAATAGACGGTGTAAAACTTCACGCACAAGCGAACACAACACTGAGTAAACTCGATTTTCGCATTGTTCTACCTTCGGCTGGTGTATAGTCAGTCGGTGGCTCACAATGAATGCGTCCGCTGCCCACAGGTATTATTCTGTTCCCCTTTAATCCGTTACCTAAATATTCACGCATGACGTTACAAAACATAAAGCTTATCCAGAGTACAATAATCGGTTGACTTTTCTCTACTGCCTGTTTACCGACAGATTAATCGACTCCGGTCCTAAGTGGAAGACTAACCGAAAATATGAATGTCGAAGCAGAGTGAAAGAAGATGAAGAAGAAGAAGAAGAGAGCAAAGAATAAAAGACAAAAAATAATGAAACCCACCAGCATCCAAAGACTTGGTTTCCCTACTGGCAGACACGGTGGACCTGCGCGGCTCCTGAGCCTCGGCTTTCGATTCAAATTCTCTTTTTCGAACGGCAACGTTTGGCACACTTCGCTTACTCGAGAGCCGCGACAGCTCGCTCTTGTAGAGGCTGGTCCGATCGCCGGTCGGCTCGTCGTCGTCGCTCAGGAGCCGGCCCGACTCGAATTGCTTCGCGCGCTTCGACACGATCTGCAGACCCTGCGGAAGCGCCGGCAGTTTGTCGTTGGCCTTCTTCTCCGGCCCCGGCGAGGAGGGCAGCGACGAGGCGTCGCGAGGGCAGGGACTCCTCGCGTCCTGCGAGTGTCGCTCGCTCGAGAGCAGAGCCGCGGCGCTCGTGATGTTCTCGTGTATTCTCGACAGGGTGCCGACGAAGCTCGATTTGCCGGCAGTGTTTCTATGCGTCGGCTGCTGGTGCTTGTCCGCCTCCTTCGGCTCGGAGATCTCGCGACAGTCGTTGTACAGAACGGCCGGGGAGCACAGGCGGTCCTCCATCACCACCGACTGCGCGTCCTCCAGCGAGCGGGAGCTGCTGAAGTACTCGGGCTGCTCCGCCTCGACCGACGCGCCGGACCGTTTCAGTCTTTGCTCGTTTCGCAGCGTCGAGGAGAACTTCTCCAATGCGAGCTTCTCCTTCTCGAAGCCTCTGTCCTGCCCGGACACCGTCGGCGGCGAGCACTGTCGGTCCTGCTTGGGATCGTTCGGCGGCCAGATCTGCTTCTGGAGCTTCTGCGGCCTCGCGTAGAACTCGCGCGGTATCGTCGTCGAGCCGCCGCCTCGCACCGGCGACTCGCTGCGCTCCTCCGACAGGAACCAACCGATCGGATGGCTCGGTCTCCGCAGGAACTCCTCCTTCTGCTCGAAGCTCTTCCTCAGCCTGGTCATGATCACGGAGTCGTCGATGCCGGAACTGCCGTTGGCGTTTCTAGCGCCGCTCGAGTTCCCGTGCCGCGCCTCGACTCTGCCTCCGTTCGCGTCGACGCCGGGGAGGACGCACGAGGAGTCGTAGCGGGGCGGGTCGCCGGTGGACCGGATGGGCGACGAATCTCTGCCCGAGTCGATGCTGAACCTGGAGCCGGGGTCGCAGGAGCGGAGCGCGTCGGCGCTGGCGTAGCTCGCCACTTCGAAGTTGTTGATCGTCGAGCTGGACGTGCTGCCCTCGCTGGCGCGCCGCGAGCTCACTCTCCTCATGGCGGGCCGGTAGATGGGCACCTGAGGCTCCGCTCGGGACAGGGAGTACCTCGTCACGCCCGAGGCCTGCTGGTGCGCTTGCGGGTAATACTGCTGCTGGTAGTGGTGTTGCTGGTAGTGATGGTGATGGTGGCGGTGATGATGGTGCTCGTGCTCCTCCGCGCTCAGCCGCGACGGCTCTCCCAGCCGGACGTGCTCGTAGATCGGGTCCTTGATCCTGTCGTAGATCTGCTCGCTGTTCGTCCGCGAGTAGATGGAGTCGGGCCGCGTCCTGTCGTACACGTCGTACTTGTCGTATCTCGAGTCCGAGTGGATCGACCTCTCGCACGTCCGCGCGTCCGCCAGCTTCGGCAGGTCGTCGGCGATGGACTGCTGCGAGTGGTTTCGCACGCCTAGCTTGTCGTCGAGCGACTCGGGCCGACCGGCGACGTCTTGGAACGGCTTGGCGTGGTAGGTCGTTGCCTTCACCGACGACTGAGCTTGCAAAGGCACCTTGTGCGCGCGCATTTGTTGTTCCTTGGAGAACTCACGCGTCTCCTGCTCGCAGTAGGGCGCGTCGTCGAGCGGCCGGTCGGGTTCGCATTGTATCGAGCTGGGCGCGGAGCAGACCCAAGACTGCCTCGTTCTTGGGGACAGACCGGGGATCATGCTGACGGACCTGCGTTGCTTCTGACCGGCGCTCCGCTCCGGGGAGCGCAGCCGTGGACGCTGGTTCGTCTCGGGATTGTGGGCGGTCTCCCCGAAGTACCTCTGCAGAATGTCGTCCTCCTTCGACACCACCAGCAGCCGCAGCCACGGGCCCGCTTGCTGGATGCGCTGCACCACCTTCGCGTACTGCTCGCCCCGCGTCGCCTTGCCGTCCACGGAAACTACCCGGTCGCCTGTGCGCAACCCCGCCTCGGCCGCCGGGGAATTCCCTCGCACCTGCTTCACGAATATCGTGTCCATTGGCTCCTCGATCCTCGTTCTCTCGTGGCCAGGTAATATCTGATGGGAAGATTTGTCTGATAAAGCATCGTTCATAGAGGTGTTCTGATCGTTGAAGAGGATACTCACGCAACATGATTCTGGAGGGTAGACGATGAAATGCCGAAGGGTGAAGCCGAAGCCATTTTCGCCGCGGCGCAGCAACAACGTCCTCGGCCCCCGTGGCGGAGAATCGTCTCGTTGAACATCTCCGATTTGCGTGATCGTTCTGCCTCCGTCTCCTCCGCCGACACTTCCACCGCCTCCGCTGCTACCGCCACCTTCACCGTCACCACTACCACCACCACTATTACTACTACCACCACCACTAACACCAGCAACAGCAGCAGCACCAGCAGTACCACCACCACCGCCGCCACCACTGACAGCTAACATTCCCGCTTTCGACTCGACGCTAGACATTGACGGCGCTGCCATTGAAATCGTACCACCGTGTTCTACCTGAAAGAAATACAATTACTAGTGCTACCTCAAAGCTGCGAGCGTAACGGCAAGTTCGTCGGATTCAAGCGGAACGGAGGAATAAATTGATTAGAGGCTGTTTCACATATTAACACTAAAACTACCAGAGGGGTCGAATGACCTATGCCTGATGTCTTTTTGCAATTGTTAGAAAGGTAACGAATGCTTCTGAGAAATTATTACAGAAATTCATTTAGCAAATTGAATTGTAGATCAATTGAAATCTGAACGGACTCTTGGAGTTTCTATAACGAAATTTTAAGTCAATTGAAGTGCTCGGTAGTTTTAGTGTTAACCCTTTGCACTTGGAAGTCTCAATAGAAATATTCAACAGTTTTCAATGAGTTATGACATCCTTGAAAATTAATCAAATGGGAATACACAAAAGTTAAAGTTATTTCAACATTTCACAGATTAATTATAATTAATAATATTCGTATGACTATGATTTTTGTGTATCGAATCATCACCTCTCCAGCAAGGAGTTAAGAGGCTTGAGAATGACACGACGAGAGAATACAGTTGCGTCGATGATACTCGGAAGTCAGGAAAAATCTTGAATCATAGTTAATATTCATCCGCCGTCCCCGCTTCGCGCGGCGCACGCGTGCGCATGGACTCTTCCGAGCAGTACTCGCCAAAATAAACTGAATCAAAGTTTGGCACAAACGTTTGGTTTTACATACCGTATGCGCCTGTCCAACGAACCCTTGAGGATTATTTCGGTCTTCAGCCATCGTACGCCCCCTGAAACTGTCCAATGATTTAATCCAACCAGGAAATTCATGTTACGCGAGATATCGTTGCTTTTGGAAAAATGACTAGGATGACTATTCGTCACCAAGAATTACGAATTACCGCGATCCGTACTAATTCCAGCTGCTCATTTAGTCTGCTCCTCTTCGCGTGTGCGTCCGATCGTCTACGATTATTAAATATTTACGGAACATCAAGCTCGACTTTCAATCGCGTACACTATGTGTGCTTTTTAGCACACGTACGTACGCACAGACGAATGGACAGCGGAAGGTTGAGCGAACCAATCTACTTTCTCTGCGTCTCGACATACTTTCTGAATATTATTCACGACTCGGGATTATTTTCTTCGAATTTCTTCGCCGTGCCTCTCAATTTCAGTCGATTTTCTGCGGAAAAAAAGAGTGTCAGATTTTAGGAATTTACGGGTTCACCGATTTTCCTTTCTTTTCCGCGTGGATATTTTCTTATTGAACGATGCATTGGAAAGACCATCCGTAAAATTGTTTACTGATTTTTTTTTTAATATAATAAATAAAATCTCTGATATCTTGGATAGATCTGTTGACTAATTTTTTAAATGGAAATTGAAGTTTGATTGTCATTCCAATTGATATCGATGAACAATGTTTAACAACAATCTGTTTATTGAATTTCAATGGTGAACCAATTGCGCGTGTAACTGAAGAAACTTTGGAAACATTTATGAATAAGCATAATTATTTAAAAATCTGATCCTATCGTTTCACTGGTTGTCCGTTGTTTATTAAATTAATTACTATTTTGTTGTTTCTATGACAAAATGTTTGCCTATTTTTCTTTTATAAAAAAAATCATTTTGTAGTAAATAGGTCATTTAACTTGAAAAACTGAATGCCGATTTCTAATCACTTTTTCTCTATCCTCGTTTCTTCTTCCGTTAGACCATTAATAAACAATTTTAACAAACGTCAATGTAATATGTTCAATGCAACGCCGGGCAACTGCGAAAACAACTGAAATTATTTCGCGGCACGTGAGTTTTGTTGACACTGTCTACCGAAGGTGTCAAAAGCCAACTTTCGAATTTATCACTTAAAATTATCTTCCAAGTTTAGTCGTATTAAACTGAGAAACTAATTTTAAATTAAAATTTCGAAAAGTGTCTGTTGACATCTTGGGTAAAAGTAATTAACCCTCTATGGGAATTTTGTTAATAACAAAACGTACGCGGTATGAAATTAATAAATACCGACATATGAACACAAATGAACAATGCATTCAATAATGTTAATAATCATATTAAAACGAATATATTTTGTAACTTTGGAATTATAATACGAAACGCCTGTGCAAAAGTTTAAATTGATTAATTACCTAACACGTTCGCGCACGTAAATGCTACAGCACTCATTCCCATCGCAAACTGACATGAACGCTATAGCATTAAAATTCATAATAAATTTTTCTAAATTCCTTCAAATAATGCACTAACCGTCATCGTCCGCCATTAGCATTTTTCCAATTTCGCGGCTGATTAAAATGTCCACTGTCGAACGTGTCAGCTTCATCATTCCAATAAAAAATTCGATAAATCAATGAACCCGAGTGTATCGATACTCGACTCGAATTCACACGGTCCTGTGGAGGGTGAAATTCCCGCGAAGCACAACATAAACACAGAATCCGAAGAAAATAATATCACAGGAAGAGAAACGAGACGAGCGAATTTAAACGAGTCATCTACGCACTCACGCACGCGTGCACGGTAGAAGAAGTGGCGGCGGCGACGGTAGGAGAAGGGGGCGGACGGAGAGGGGGTAGTTATCGAGTACGAAGAGAGGAGGCAGAGAGAAACGAAAACAGAAATGCACCTAGAGCAAGTACTGTACGCACACTTGACGTAGGAAGTGTCGCGCATCAAGTGCTGCTGCTCGCAGCGCCTCACCGTAGTTACCTCGCCGTGTTCCGTGATGCAACGATGAATCGACTTGTCGTCCTATGAGATTCGCACTCGCTCTTTTGCCTTCCGCCAGATCGCTGAAAGGTTCATCTGACCCAGACGTACGGAAATGGACCGACGATAAAGACATCCGACGACGTGATTTTAGCGGCGCGCTCGCCGTACACGACAGTCTTTCGGCGAACGACGAGTCTCTTTTTCGATGGCATAATCCTCCTCGTCGAGCGATCGTCGATATCACCGCTTACCTTGATCCTCTCTATTGACACGCATCTCGTAGACCCATTATCTGCATTCGTGCAGATACATTACTATTATTATTGTTGTCGTTAATACTATTATTAATATTACCATACTAGTATTACTATTGTTACTATTACTATTAGGAGTAGCAGGTAACGTTAAGAGAAAGATCGAATAATGAACGCAGCGTGGTTACGAACCTCTCTCTTCCGATTACGAGTTGAAAATAAAATCTAGCAGCCGACCGTCCCTCGTAAACGTGACGCGCGTCAAATTCGGTCGACGCTGTGATTCGCTTACTCGATTAGGTTATAATGGCATGTAAAGTTTGCACGTATCACTTTTCGTCGGTTTCATTTACCAGTCCCGTCCCGTCGAATACGTTCGCCTGATCGTTCCGATAATGACAACGACTCGGGCGAGCTCGGAAAAGGCTACTCCTCAACGTTCACTGCACTATCTGATACGACACGATACGACACAGCGTAACATGGCGGTCCGACTGAGCCGAGCAGACCGACAACGATAAACCTTTTCGCCGGACGAGCGAACGGAACACGACGAGAGATTAACTTTGAATTTTGTCGGCGACACGCGTCCGTCGATCCCCTGTGCATTCGGTTCGTACGATTTAACAGGGAACGTCAAGAAATGCTACTTTCACGCCCGCCATTATTCCATACCGTGTTCCTCTTCCCTTTCGGTTCCTCTTTCCCCACTTCATTCTTTCCCAGTCTCTTTCTCGTTTCTCTTTCTCTATTTCTAGCGATCAACATCTCCGCCTATCTCTCTCGATATACCCTAGTGTATGTGTGCGACATCTGTGTCGGTTAGCGGATGTTATAATCGGCGCATTTTTTTGCTGTGATGGTAACGACGCGGGAGATCGTATCCGCGGTTGGTAATGGTGAATATTTCAAATCTAACCGTTAACACGTTACGATTGTTTTTTAGTCATTCGAAAGCGTCAGTCACCAGTGGCTGACATGGCGCGTAACGTGTTAACAAATAAAGTGCAGTGTGTAACAGTGACGAACCGTCGTGACAATTGAATCGCTCGAAAGCTGCGATTGAATGCTGAAAAATTGAAATTCATGTTTTGGCTTGAATTAGCCAAAATTGGCTTGAATTAGCCTAAAAATTAGTGAATATTGAATAGTGGACCGTACTGAGTTCTTAGCGATTCAATTAGTGTTTCCAAAAATATTATATTTACGCGGTAGTTGAGTCTACTCGAAAAGGAATTCAAAATCTGGAGAAAGGTTGTACAGGTAACTGCCCGTTACTTTATCGTGTTTTCCATGATACATATTAAAAAATACATACATATGTCAATGCTTATCACATATTACTCGTTACTCGTCAGATACCACAGTATCTCGCGATTAGTATTCGATCCGGTCTGCAGGATCAGTGCCGGGTGACAGTCCCGATTTTAGGTTATGCAGGTGAGAGTACCATACAAAATACGATAGACGCATCCAAGGTATTAACGTTCATTTTAATCTACAACGATTCCAGAGACAAACGTAGCCAAGAACGTGGAATACAAGGTACATCAGGATCATGAGCAACATGTCGGTCCAGAAGTTAGATTCGTCGAAATCGTATTGGTGCAGTACTCCAAGACCTTCAGTGATGCAGGGTAGCTCGGAATCCACTGTCTCGCAAGCTGTTGGTTTAAAAAACCATCATCGAACATATTCTTAAGTATAGGTAAATGTACAATGGAATTTGTCAAACGTATCTGCACATGTGTATAGGTACCTACTTACATATATTGTGTACTCCACTCCACTGAAGTATGGTAAGCGCTTCGTTCGAGTACAGGAGCCAGGAAACATATCTCACCCAGCGGATGTATATTGGCAGGGACCTAGAAAAAGTAGGATCATGACAAGAAATTTATGGAAAGCATTTGGAAATAGGAAAAAGGAGCTGAAGAAAAGAAGAAGAAAGGAAGGAAGGATTGTACAATGGAAATGTATGTAAATACTTCAATTACATACTGCAAGCAGAGGCTACGTACCCCAGCTTCAGGAATGGACCCATAGTTACCATGAGGACATAATCGAAAGGCACCAGGTATGCCATTGCCAATGGTACATTTTCAAATGCCGTTGAGAAAAAACAACCTGTATTATTAATACACATAACACATAACACATTTTATATCTACAATCTGTAAATTATCAAATCTTTCACTTTGAACTGAACAATTCAGAAATTACCACAAGCAGTTGACACGTTTATCGTAAGTAGGATCACGAGTAAGGTGAATCCGAATGCTTCCACACTGTTCCGTAATCCTGCCAACCAGTATATTATCGAAGTGAAGACCAGTAGCTCGACTATCAGTCCAGGCACCTAGAATTCCAATGCTCTCTTTTTCCTGCTTTTGGAAAATGCTGACAGCGTTACGATTACTCACCAACGAAAGTATTCGTGCAATGTAGTACAGATGAATCGGGTACATTCCAGCACGATACTCTCTTCGCAGGAGCGGCAGTTGTTGCGGGATCAGGGCAAGCGTAGCGTACATTGGAAAAAAAGCATTCTCAGATACCAAAATGAAAACAACGCCCTGAGTAGCTTGAATTCCCAGCTGATCGAAATTCACGGCACCCACGAAGCATAGTCCAGCGAGTAAAGCGACACTCTGTCGAATTTACATCGGGGTTGATACAAAATTTCCTCCCATAGTTGCTTCGAGCACACACCGTGTCCACTGTCGGTCGTCCCCCTCCCCCAACCCGTTTCAATTGCAATCAGTATACCAATCTCACAATCACTTGTTTGTAGGTGAGCGAGGCTGGACTTACCACTTTCTGAAGGATCCTGATAATCTGCAGCGATGGATCTCTCAAAACCTGCAGGAAATCTCGATAGATCAACCAATAAAGTCTCGAGCAGCAACGCTCTTTCCTCCTATGGAAGTATATAAGATACGTCAGGATTAACTGTGAACATATGCACAGAGGAGTCGCAGCATTCTTAAATACTCACCCCATAGAGTTATCGATAACCAGCCTCACCGTTGACTGAAACGTCGAGAAAGATGAGAGGAAAGAAATTTAATTCCGCTGCACATCTGTGCGATACGCTTACCTTCGACTGCTCCGACCTTCCCACCTGGATGTCCTTCTCCAGAATGCGATCAATCTCGCTGGAAGCTTCGCTGCTCGAAAACAAGTCGCACACCTTCCGGGCAGTTTCCCTCCCATTTTCAGCGGCCACTATGGCTATTAAGAAGTCTGCGGGATTGTAATTCCGAGGACACGCGTAGCCCTGGCTGAAAAGTCGAGTAAAAAGCGTCACGTGGATAGAAGTCACCTCGTCGCCAAATTTGCAAGGAAATTTACTTGACAACGGAACGGTAAGAATCCTCCTGTACGTGTCTTCATGCAATGTACCTTTCGAAAAACTGCACCGCCTGCTCCGTGCGCCCGGCGAACGCCACCCGTCCGTCCACGATTAATATTATACGGTCGAAAGAATTGAATATAGCAGAGCTCGGTTGGTGTATGGTGCACAGCACGGTGTTGCGTCCTTTCGTAGCGAAACACTTCAACTGGGAGATCAAAGAGTTGGCGGAATGCGAGTCTTGGCCGGTCGTTGGTTCGTCCAGGAACAGTATTTTCGGGTCGATCAGTAGCTGGAAAATTCGTAGCAACTTAGCGGGGGTCACCGGTGACCCCCAAGCAAATCGAATTACTATAATTCACTTAATGAAACGATGATTATTCGCACACATTTCTATATTATAAATACTGCTACCCATTGCGGTGACATTCAGTTTGATGAACGCGCAATGATAATCCAATTCAGTCCAATGATTTAATATTGTTGCAGCGAACCTGGCACTCGTGATGTCATAGGGGCGGAGCCAGTCGCGCGGTAGCTCCGCCCGTCCCGCCTCTACGGCTCCGAGACGTCCAATCGCGAGTCAGAAAGCGGCTGACTGCGCGGCAGCCGACTAGCGTGCGCGGCGCCGCGGCGAATTGTACCGAGAATCCACGTGGGCGTGGCTTGCGCCTTGGAATCTGACCACTCGGACGAAAGTGCCAGGTTCCCTGCAACGGAATTTGGTAGCTTTCAAAGTGAAAGGCGATGACTGAAGTAGTATGTGTCGTCTTTACTGCCGTGTGGATGTTTCGACCGAGTAAACTAGCTAGTAGTTTTCCTTTTTGCCTTCTGGCGAGAGAATCACATTCGTCTTACTTCTGTAGCAAAGGCCAATCTCTTCTTCTCGCCGCCAGATAATACTTTGTCGTCGATACCGTTGCCGATCCGCGCGTTGCGTCTCCCATCTAAGCCAACGTTTCGCAGCAGACGATCGATCTTGTCCTGAATCTCGAACACGTGTGTCCTCCCGTGTAATTTCATTCGAGCCTGTGATGTTCAAACTTAGATAAATGGATACGTACGTAGGTATGTAGATACGTAGTTGAATTTTTCTGTTGGTATGAGTATTTCATATTCCATTGATATACGTATCTAATGCATTGAATTTCGCACCATGAACCAGAGGTGCTCGATCACAGTCATAGTTTCGACGAATATGTCCTCTTGATGCATGTAACCGCTGTTCGCCATCATGTACGAGGAATCGACCGGCACACCATTCGCGCGGATGTCGCCGTGAACCAAAAGTTCGGCTGAGTAGAACAAAATCGGATTGAGGATTGTATAGAAATATGTAATGTATATATGTTGTGTATGAAACAGAGGATGAGAACTCCATAAAGACACTTACGACCATTTCGAAAAGCCAATGCCGTCATTAGTGAACTTTTACCAGCTCCGCTGTGTTGTAAAATAGATTGTAGGAACAGAAAATACGGCTTAAACTGAATGTTTCATCACTCCGATCTTACCTTGCGCCAATTATAGCTGTCAGATCGCCGGGTTTTGCTGCGCCGCGCACTGAAAAGGACCATCGCTTAAAAAATCGAAAATCCACGTAAAGTACGTATTTCACTTAACACTAATTCTATCGAAGGCGTCGAAAGACACTTGAAATTTGAATGAAAAATTCTTTTCTTAATTCTGTATACTTTGAATTGACTTTTCGACTGTTCCAATATTAAATTGTATTTGATTATAAAATTCACTGTAGGAAATGTCCAAAATTCAATTGAGAAACGATTGAACTGAAAAAATAGTTTCAAGGTGAAACTTCAAAAGTTGCTCTTTGACACCTTCGGTAGTGTTATCCTTTGCACTCGAGATTTGGCCCAAGAAAATAAAATTTCAAATTCAATATCAACACATGGAACATCGAAAATAGTTGTCACTTAATTCACTCCAGGTACTTCTTCATATCAGTTGTGAAAAATATCATTGATAAATATATACATAAAAATATAAAAGATATATCTAAAAATATTCTCGAGTGCAAAGGGTGAAGATCCACACTATTATAAGAACAAGATTACGTACCATTATTGACAAGTTGCTTGGATACGTTCCTCCTGCCTCGGTCCATCGCGTAAACCGACAGATCTCGCCACGAAAGTGTGACACCGATCGAACAATGCGTCTGTTTCTCTCTTCGATCATCGCGATGGTTCCGGGACCAATGTGTCCCTTCTAAAACGTTCATCGCGGTCAGACTAAATTTTACTGTTCGTTGTCGTTTCACCACTGTTGTTTACTCGATCGCGTTTCTCCTCTTCAGGCTGTTCAATCGTTTCACAGATTTTTCTAGTGCACCGATCTATTACATTCGTTTTGAACTCGAATGAGTAAATACAAACGATTAATGAGTATACTAGTGGACCGACCGATCGACGGACCGACCGTCCGACCGACCGAGTCGTTCCGCAAACGGGATTGTTACTGAATCGGGTGGCTCGTACGCGGTAGTTGACACCCGGCCATTTCAACTTACGTATCCTACTTCCTCGTGTCCCTTCGACCAAGCAGAACATTCGAATCTGCCTGTTGTATGGGTGTTATATAGGTTTTGCACTCGATGTTCACCGTTTTGCTGGTCAAATTCATCATTTTTCGAACCAAATTCATCGTTTCGCATGTCAAATTCACCCTTTTGCAAATCAAATTCACCCTTCCTCAAATCAAGTACTTCCACACGTACATTTTATTTAGAAAGCCATCAAATGTCAATTGACATGAAATGAAAAATTGTATTACAGAGAGGCGTATTGCACGCTTGAACGCGAGCAATAGAATAAACTCGAAATTTGTTTGTCGCCGAGGCACATGAAAAAGGCGAGACTGACGAGAGCAATGGGAGCTTGGAACGGGGCCAGATTAGACGCATTACGGTAATCGAAGAAGGAAACCTTATACTGGTCCCCCGTAAGGATTACGCGGTAGCTATTCCTCGATGGCGGCGCATGCAAATGCGTGTCTGACTCCTGTCCCCTCGATGTTTCCGTGTACTCTCGAACCTCGTATTTTTCCAATAACAATTCTACTGCTACATCATGTAATATCTCTCCATAAAAGAGAATCGCCAAACGTTTCTAAAGTGTAGTAAAAGTATGTTGGAGGAAGAAACAAATACTTTTATTACAGAAACAGTGAATACTAGGAATACTAGAAATTTGCTATATCTTGCCAACAGTGCATTAAATAATTCAAAAGTAGTACAATGTAAAATTAAAATTAAAATTCTTTAGTGAAGTACACGTTAATCGCCACGAGAATCTCGACCTTTTTGTAGCAAAGAAAACTAGGAACATTAATTATTCGTTGTTACAAAAAGATAATAGTATCGCGAATCGCTCGAAACGAGAGCGCCGTAGAAGCGATGAAATCGATCATCAAACAAACGCGCCCGATAAGTAAGTACCTATGTCGCTCGGCTGCGATTTCGTTCTTCTTTCGATGTGCACTCGCACGGTATAAGTGACAACCGGTTTATCAGAGATATCGGAGTCTATGCTCGGGAGGGTGGCCGACCAAGGTGTTCGTTACTATCGCCACCCGCAAGAGGTGCACAGCCCGCAACGAGTAACAGGAAATACCCAGCCAGTGTTCGAGTTGCGCTCAAACACGGCTGCTTGTTTCTAGATCAGCGGTTTCCAACCTTCATGCTGCTACGCCTCCCTAAAAACAATCTTTCTCCCGCGCCTCCTCATCTTCTGACCCTTTGACCTCGGCAGTTTCTCGCTGGAAATGTTTGAACATTCTCTGACGAGATACAGAGGATATTTCGGAAGCTAACTCGAAGAGAAATTATATTACATCGAGGAACAAAGCTGTTTTATTTCAGCGTTTCTTAAATTGATGCATTATGGTATAATATTAACCCCTAAAATTTTCATATTTGGAATAGTAAGTCGCAAACGAATGACTTAATCACTTGAATGACAAGTGATCAGTGCGTAGTTCCCTTTTTTATCATTGTTTAAGCATTCGATGTATAATTTAGCTTCGAATGTTGCAAGCTTTGTCTGTACCTCATCAGAAAATGTTCAAATATTTCTACATAAAAACTTCCGAGTGCAAAGGGTCAATAGCTTATCGTAGTTCTTAAGTTGCACTATTATTTAACTAGCCAAACATTCTCATGCGACAGTATTCTCTCCTTGTAATTTAATATGCAATAATACTCCTTGTAATTAACCCTTTGCACTCGAGAGGTGCCTCTCATTCACCAATCGATTTCGTACAGTGAAACCATAAAATTTGATACTTAATATTAAACTTCGTGCAACGCATCGATCTGAGAAATATTCAAACAAAATATCCTCTATCCGATCGGAAGACGTTAAAAAATATTTCTAACGAAAAGAGCGCAAAAATGTTGGCGCCTGCCAGGTTGGAAACCGCTGCTCCAGATACCTTCTCTTTTTTCCATTCCTGTTGTCTTCCGTTGCGGCGAAGGGGCGTGTCGTTGGAAACAACGAGAACGACACCGACTGTACACTGGAAAAACGAGAATTTTTTCCGGCGCGCATAGAACGATCGCCTGACCGTTACTGGAGACCCGAGAGGAAAGAAATCGGATTCGTCCCATCGCGACGGTGCCGTGACCTTGAATCGATCCGCCATTGATACGGCGCGTATGGTCCTTGCCGCGACATTGTCGCGGTCAAGCGAATCAGCGACTCTGTACGCGTTTCAATTATTTCTGAGATGTAAAGCGTACTTACCCTTATCTCTGATAAAAGTTTCACTAAAAAATAGAATAGGAATTAGGCTGGTTAACCCCTTAACGCACTCTTTTGAAAAAAACCGGCCAGAAAAATCAATTTTGATATACTCCTTTGTTCCATGGAAAACGGCTATATTTTATTCTTGAATAAATAAGTGTTACAGCTTACAATCCCATGTAAATGATAAATATCAATGAAACGATCTTTTTTCTTTGCTTTCACATTGTTATTTTCACAGCTCGGCCTATGATGAATTAACTCGAGCGTACAAGTTAAGGGGTTAATCGTTCAAGCGGAAAATATACAAAGGGCACCGATACCGATCCTGCAAAAAAGTTTCACTGGAAAATAGAATAGGGATTAGGGTGGTAATCAGGTGCTTGCGAGGAGAGTTTGTAAAAGTTCTTTTAATCGTTCAAGCAGAAAATATACAAACAAGAAGGGCACCGATACCGATCCTGCAAGTTTGTCGAGTAAAATACGCGCGACGACTGGAGATGGTACATTGTACCTACATGGAAAACGGTTAATAGAGTAGCAAATTCTTCTTCTTCTTCTTCTTCTTCTTTGATTCGTGTCGCTTTTATTGTTATCTGGCGCGACGAGTTTTCGACAGCAGCGCTAGGAACGCCAGGAAACGAAAGGCGACGATTAAAGAGAAGAGACACGCGATGTCCGGCCAGAAATGCTCCTGCAAGGAAGAACTGTTTACGATCAAATGTTTACTAGAATTAACTAACATTTCTAGTGCGATTGGTCAACGATAAGAAGTTAACCCTTTGAGGACGAATGTCGATATTTCGGACGTTGCGAACGAACCTGTTTAAAGTTGAATGTTTGCAACACCATTCGTCCGGTTTTAGGGCACGTTGCGTTGCTTCTTGTACATGCTATGGATTCCACTTGCGACCACTGGTTGATCAGTAGAGCTTCGTTGCCGTATCGGAACCAGGACAAGTATGAAACCCATTTGAAGTAGAACGGGATGGATCTGTGACATGGCAATTTCCACGTTGAGGATGGTTATTGTATAGTATTGCAACGTTATGTTTATCGTTTGACGTAGGATTTCTTACGCTGTGTTCAGGAAGAATCCACCGAATAACAGGAACGGTATTATCACTGGAGGTCCGATCGACAGTGCCATGGATAGGTTGTCGCTGATGCAGGATATTAAATAACCTGAAATACAGGGAACAATATTTATTTATTTAATAGAATATTAAATAAATAAAAATATAGCACAGAAAAGACCCAGCAATCAGTAAAAGAAACTACCCCATAAATTTTATATTTAATAGCTTTATAATTGAAATTGTCGTTGATACAACCTTGAAATCACAATTCCAAATTTCTGTCGAATTATTTATATGTATAATAATATAATAATATAATATAATATTTATATAATATATATTAATACGGAAATCTTGTAAAAACTATACAATAATTGTTCTCAACGTGGAAACTCGTGTATATATATAGTATATAATATTATTATATTATATTATATTATATATATAATATAAGGGGTGGAGCCAAGACTGGCGAACTTACGAACAGTTGAACAGTATGCTCACCAAAGGATGTAGAGACATTTGCAACCAGTGCAACGATACCAGCAGTAACGAAAAAATGGTCGATCCCAGGGTACAGACCAATCATCGGATACGCGACGATGGTGAATAGCAGCGGCACAGCTATAAAGATCGGCGCTTCCGCTAACGTCTTGCACAGAAAGTACACGTCGGTACGATACATGCCGTTCCGATGTTCCCGCAAAAATATCGGCAACTCTGCGCAAAACACCTACATATCGCATTTTTACGAATCATTTCTCTTCCCCTTCTCTCTCTTTTAACCCTGGATAACGAAACTGAAATCAACGTTACTATGCAATTAAACATTCGACTCGTAGACCACGGTTTAACCCTTTGCGGTCCGAAGTGTTCTTAGTTTCTCATTTTGAGGTTCACGTCGACGTTAATTCATTCAATTACAGCTTAATACGACGCTCTATTTATTTATTTAAGAATATTTGGGAGTCATTGAAATGTTACCTTTAAGTGGTACAATTGCGATACTACAAATAAATATAGAAAAAACGGTTAAAATAGGTAGAGGTTGCAATAAAATAGAATGTCGAGTCTGACTCGACATAGGACTGCTAAGGGTTAAACACAGTTGGTTGGCAGTATTCAATTAGATCAACGTGTGTATACAAAAATTCAGATATTATATTCTCATGTAATATACTATAAATAGACAATCAATTCGAATCAAATTTCCTATTTCCATGCCGCGGTAATTACCAAAGTCCCACAACTAACTGTCTTTATAGAACTAATTGACAACGTTTAGTTACCCAGGGTTGACACCCGCGTGTGAGGTTCGTAACGCCATAGATTCTTACGTTTATAACGGCGAACACATTCTGGAAAGTCATGTTCGTAAGGAAAATAAATAAAGCACCGTTCACGTTCATCACTCCGTCCTGATCGAGCCGTTGATCGAAATAAACGATTCCAATCAGGAGCGACACCATCTGCGACAAGACACATTTACAGAACGGTCATTTCGAATTCGAGTCGCCATTGCTACGCCCCGTTCGCGTAGCGCGAGCTTATAATATCCATTTTGTTTTTCAGCGTGACGTACGATAGTCTGCAGCATACGGATCTTAATGAGGATGGGCTCCTTGATGACGGACAGCCAGGACCGCCAGAAAACGGCGCGGAACTGTTCGCACCAGGTCGCTTTGTACGGCGATCGGCTGTCGGCGTAGCTCGAGTCCCGAAGGGAGTCCTCGAACTCGCCGTTCACCGCCTCCGCCTCCAGCGCGATCTTGATTCCGTGCTCGCTCTTTTGGAACGCGTCGCACACGGTGTTTATGGCGTGCCGACAGGACATTTCGCGACCAGGTACCACGGCCAGTACCTGAACGAAGTAGTCGGCGGGGTTGTAGTTGCTGGGGCAAGCCGCGCCTAATCTGAAATCATCGCAGATCGATTGCAGACGAGGAGAGAGACGCGAGGGAGAATTGTTCTCCGTAGACGACGTCTTTTCGGTTTTCTGTCGAACTGGAGGAGCGAGTGCGGTGAGGGGTACGAAGACAAATGAGAATGAGTAGAATGAGAAGTGAGATGGATAGTTCTACGAGCGTTGAGGCGAGACTTCAAAGCGATTTGTCAAATATAAACATGTAATACAGGGACTATTAGTTGAATTAATTTTGATGTTAATCTCTTGAATTCTCATTTGTCTGTGTTCCATGTCTCTTCACTGCAATTGCCGTTTCAGTTCGACGGAGAAGCGACAAGATGTCGTCTGCGAACAGTATACAATCAGTTGAAGCTCACGTCTCGAAAAAAGCGCAAGCTTGCGAGGCTGTGCCCATGAAAGCTACTCTTCCTTCAGCCATCAGCAATGTTCTGTCGAACAGGGCGAATAATTCCGACGAGGGTTGGTGTAACGTGGCAATGATCGTTTTACCCCGTGCTGCAGCACATGTATCATCAAGACATTTTAGCAAGTTCGTTGAACCGTTCGAGTTCCATGAAAACTGGCAACCGGCGCGATCGCGCTTGTTTCGTTTCAATTTCGGAACTGAACGACGCTTTTCTGTTTTTACAAAAACAAATTTTAAATGCAATCGTTGCATTCTTCCAGTCTGAGGCGAGTAATAACAAATAAAAATGAATGATTAGAGGGAAAAGAAGTAAATAAGCTTCGTCTGATTCTACGAACCGATAGACCGCCATTTTTAGACAATGTAACAGAAGCGCCATCGCGCCGTTTGCGACTCAAACTGTCAACCCCGTTTCGGTTCCCCATAAAGGCGCGTCATCGACGACGTACCGGCCAAAGTTTTCAAAACAGAAACCACTTGGTGAGCCATGAAAGAGTCCAGGCCAGACGTCGGTTCGTCGCAGAACATTATTGGCGGATCGGTGAGAACCTCGGACGCGAACGACAGTCTCTTCATCTCTCCGCCCGAGAGACCTTTGATTCTTCCTGGCTGGCCGATCACTGTGTTTCGACATTTCGTCAAGGCAAGCTGAAAAGAAACAACGGAAATGTCAAGATTAAGTTCGACTTCAAATGAAGATTCATCGATATTGTCTTTGATTGTTCACCGATTTAGAGTCCATCAGAAACTAACGCGCTCAAGTCCTTGATACTCTTTAATTTTCATACTTTCATGGAATAAATAATATTCTCTTTCGCGGAAGATTCTCTGAAATCTACAGAACCTTTAGCAGATGATAAATTACATATCAATTATCTTAAACAGGAAAAAAGGAAACTACACGCCGATCCCACGGAAATGCCGACATTCGTAAAGGGTTGAATTCGTTGCTTCGTCTTCCTAGGTCAAAGAACCTTCCTTTTTGTAGCTTCTGAATATTGTGCAACTATTTTAGAAGCCAGAGCATTAATTTTCTCAATTTTCGTTGTCTAGACTTAACTGTATTAGCTTCTGAGCGACTCGATTCGTCGAACCGATGCTCACCTCGCTGATCACTTCGTTTACACGACTGATTCGATGTTGGATGGGTATCCGCCGATCCATGCGCACCATCGCTTGGAAATGAAGGTGTTCGGCGACGGTTAAAGTGCCAACGAACAAGTCGTTCTGTTGCACGTAAGCTGTTCTAGACGTTAGTATCGTAGGCGAGACCCTTCGGCCGTTGGCCGCCATTACGCCGGTCACGATCGTGCCGCGGGCCGAACGGAACGTTAACGCGTTCAATAACGTTGTCTTCCCAGCTCCCGATGATCCCATGATTACGAGCAGTTCGCCTGGGTAGGCGACTCCGCATACTGCAATTTTGTTTCGATATCAACTTCGAATTCTGCGTCAATATTGGAAACCGATGGATCCATTCGTGTTACGGTGTTCTCGCGATTAGTACCCGAAAATCGGAACTGCGATTGGATACTAATCGTACTGTTGTGTTGATTCGAAATCGAGATAATTTTTGATATTAATGCAGTATTTTAGTATCTTTTATCTAGACATTAATGCAACATCTTAATACCTCTCACCTAAATATTAATGCTATACACTTCTGTAGTCTTCACCAATGAAAACTATTACCAATTAGATCTCATTTTCTCTGATCAAAACGAGACCAAACATATCTTATATAACACATTCACCAATTTAGTCACTTACAATAATCTACTTTCTAGTAAATTGTGACTTAAAGTATCTCACATTTGATCTCGTTTCAATCAGAATCTCACAAATGCCTTACTGAAAATTTCATTTACACAACGACCCTCATAAATAAGTTCCATCAATTAATGTAATCGTTGTCTCCTGCAAATCGGACCGGTTACCAATCGCGAGGATACCGTGTTTCACCACGTGGATCATTAATTTTCATCTGGTACCATCTTTCAACAAGTGTCTTCTCTCTATTGCTCTCTTCTTGCGCATGAGAAACCGATCGAACAGCGATTCGTTCCTTCTGGAGACGTACACGTTCAAGTCGCTCCACGTATACGTAATCGACTCGTTTGCAAACGAACGCGACGCTTCCGTTGCCGCGTCTCCGATAGCGGTCGAGGATGGTGGGATCGGTTTCAATTTCAGAAATGTTTTGCTGCTCGTCCCACGCCTGTTGTCCCCGTCCTACAATTCGCAGACGATGAATCGCTTGTCGGCGCTACCGATCGTTACCGCAGGTATCTATGGGGTTTGCACTCCGCATTCGACCTTTTAACGCTAAAACTACCGAGTACTTTAATTGACTTTTGAAAATTTTATAGAAACTCCAGGAGTGCATCTGTTCAGACTTTAATTGATTTACGATTCGATTTGCGTAGTGCTAAATGAATTTCTTGAATAATTTCTCGGAGAAACATTTGTTACCTTTCCAATAATTGCAAAAAGAAGACATCAGTCATTTGACTCATGAGAAATTATTAAAGAAATTCATTTAGCACATATATATTTTCTTTGAAAAACATCGAATGTTAATTAGTAAGAAATGAAAAACTTTATTACAGCAAGGTGTATTACATAGTTATTTAACGTAATTACTGATTCATTATACTTAGCAGATATTACGCGTGTAATTCATGTAATTACATAATTAATGGATTCAAGGTAAATTATATAAATGCGTTCGCGTTTTCTTGTTGATATAGCAACGTTATTCGATTATTGTAAATATGAAACGTTCGCGTTTTCTTGTTGAACAGCAACGTTATTCGATTATTATAATTAATCCCAGATAATTCCATCGAACAAAAACAATAAACGTTGCACGTAACACATCAAACGCATTTGCCTCGAGATTCCAGTTACCTTTGCTTTCAAGTAAATAATACACCTTCGCGTAATAAAATTGTCCATTTCCTACCAATCAACATTCGCTTTCTTCGATAAAATATACACGCACGAATACTCGATCCTCTAAACGGTGAATTTGACTAGCAAGACGCTAAATTTAGCGCAAAGCCTATAGATAATTGATCCGTTTACATTCCGAACAGCCCGTTTATCGTAGCTTCCCTCGATTTAATTAACTCGAATGATGCTGCCGTAAGCGATCGGTATCGCCATTCCATCGGCGTGATTCTCAAGAAAACTGAAAACCGTAATCTTAACGCATCGAACGCCGGCCCCGCGATAATGCGGGATTTCCAGTCTATCGTTTAATTGCTAATCACGTGTATAACACGAATCCAAAGTGAAATTTACAAAATCGAATTCCTCATTCTCTTCCGTAAGTTAGAAATTTTCGTTCAATCGATGTTCAGCGTTTTTAGTAGCTGAAATTTAGCCGGCGTTCGATGTGTTCAGCAGCGTACCCTTGGCCCGGTACTCTAACGAGCACACGCCTGTACCGGTAACTCGCGAAAATCAATCGAAATATCGCGGAGAACAAGCTTCGCTGTTGCTTACCAATGAAATCGCATCGTACGAGGCTGTCCGCGGTTTGTTCCCACAAGTGGTCAATACCTTCGTGGAAAGCAGCGGCTCCGTCTCCTCCGTGGCAGTCATTTTCTCCGCTGTCTCGCGACTGTTCATCAATCTTCGATACGATTTCGCTCGAAATCGTCTCAAGAAATCATCTCACAGCTATCATTCATTAACACGAAACTCGTTAATTACTACTTTAAAATAAATATTCCCTTCGTTTGAAACCTGTCGCTCTGAAACCGATTTATTCGCTTCGTAACGAATCCAGCTTCTCGGCGACACTTATTATTATTATTATCGGAGGAGCTTCGACACTGCAAATCCCGCTTATTATTATTATTATTATTATCGGAGGAGCTTCGACATGTTCGACGGATAATGAGAAATTATGAAACGAGTCGACGATGACGAGGAGAATCACAAACACCGGAGAAAACCGAAGAAAGACTCACGGTCCGTGGAAACGATTCGTTTTGAAATCGTCTCAAGAAATCATCGTTAATTACTATCTCAAAACAAATATTCCCTTCGCTTGAAAACTGTCGCTCTTGAACCGATTTATTCGCTTCGTAACTCGGATCGAATCTGGCTTCCCGGCGACGAACGCTTATTATTATTATTATTATTGGAGGAGATTCGACACTGCAAACCCCGCTTATTATTATTATTATTATTATTATTATCGGAGGAGCTTCGACATGTTCGACGAATAATGAGAAATTATGAAACGATTCGACGATGACGAGGGCAATCACAAACACCGGAGAAAACCGAAGAAAGACTCACGGTCCGTGGAAGCGATTCGTTTTGAAATCGTCCGATCGGCCGGCGCGCTTCACTCGACACATGACAATGAGAGCTTAGATGCAACTTAGCCGCAGACCAAGTGCACAACATTCTCGGATTGCCCGTCGCTCACCTTTTCAGCTTGCGTCTCTCGTCCCTCCGTCCGTCCGTTCCACCGCATGTGTCGGCTTATGTAACGCGACTCCACGGATCTACGGGTTTACCGACAACCCGACCAATAACGAAGTAAAAGAACCTGCACGGCGGCCTTGCGCATGCATCCACCTGAAAGATAGTTGCCCACCGACATCCTCGTTGTTGTCACCGGTAAACAATTCGATTCCCTCGGAACCGATCTCTTCGCTCTTAACGCGTTAAGCGCCACGAAAATCTTAAGCGTTTTCCCATAGAGTTTGTCTCTCACAGTAAAGAAAAGTGGGAATAATTATGAATTGTTTGGCGTTGCAACGTCGATCGTTAATCTTTGAGGTAAACGTAGATATAGAGTAAGCGTTGGAATTGTTTCTTTTTCATAATTATTAATGTAGTCGATCACTCTATTTTCACAAGAATGAATAGATCTACGTTTTTGGAAATAAAAGTTTCATACGTTAGCTAATATAACATAGTACGTAAATTGGAACATAATTGGAATTGATAAAACTATAAGTAGAAAACGGTTTCACAGATACGAAAAGGGGCCGACGACAGTGAATAACAACAATCGCAGCAATTGAGAAAACGACATGAAGAATGACTGTGTTTATTGTTATTAGTACAATAGTATTTCAAGCATCTGAAATTTCGATGATTCTTCAATGTTCTCTTCCGTTGTGTTCTGTATGCTTTCGATTTCAGTCGAAACGTACCGGGAGGGGGTGTGTCTCGTGGCATCGGCGGGATCACGACGCCGCGATAATCTGACGCGAGAAACGGTAATACCCTGAAACATTTTCTAGCAAAGAAACGGCCGCGTACATTCTTTTCAGGAATCCGCAATGTCAATCAATGATATGTACCGTATACGTATTCTGCCACCGTTTCCCGTTACGATCTATGGTTCCACAGGGTAAACCGGGGACAAAGATGAAGCGAGTGTTCGAACGCGACGCACGCGTACCTTGCCGATCCGTCGTGTCGCGCGACAGAGAGGGAACCGGTGCGATCGACGATGACTGGCGGTAACGACGAATCAATCGTGACACGCTTTTTCTCGGACACCTCTCGTTGGATTCTGGATCGAATAGTTTTGTTCTTCGCTAAGGGTCCCCCGTGGCTGGGGGGACGTTTCGTTTGCTTGTTACCATTTGACGGCAAGACGACGCGACGGGCGTGTTTTGAAATTGTGTACGTCCATCGAGTTCACTCGTACCCTATTCTACCCTGCCTCTTCTGTTCTTTCACTCCGGCTTTCTTGATGTCTTTTGCCTTCGCTCCGCTCGTGCCGATTCACGTCGTTTTGTTGTTCTTCGACATGTTGTGGGACGCCCAGTTCAACGAGGTTTTCCACGAGTTGCAAAGGGCTTCGTCGAATTTGCTTCTAAAATGCTTTTGTGCTTCGCTCTCGGACATTTCGAGTACCTGAGGAGAACAGTTAAGAGACAATTAATAATTAGATTTATATGGAAGATGGAGAGAATGATGGTTAACACGCTATGATGGACCATTTTTCTAAGACTTTCCGTTCAGGCCGCATGGGGCGTATATGACCCTCATTTTTACAATCAATTAAAATTAAATAAACGCAGTACACATGATATTAACCCTCTGTAAGTCCATGTAACTTTGAAGTCACATGGTATATTGGAATCTTGTTGATTTATTTCATTTGGCACTGAAAGTGGTGAGTAAAGTTAAGTAATCAGTTAACTTCAACTTTTATCAGGCGTGAAAGTTTAACGTCATTGTAACTTGAAAGTTACAAAATATACTCGTTTGATGAAATTATTGAAACTTGAATACATTGTTAATTCGTCTTCATATGTGGATATCTATTAATTTTGCACTGCATAGACTTTGTTATAATCATGAACATAAATTCGGTCCAAAGAGGGTTAAAATACCTATCTTTGACTCTACACTAAATTTTCAAAAAGTTCTCCGTTTCCCAATGAGAATTCATTTTCGGTCTGAATAGAAAATTCAGCGTGGGTCATATACGTCCCACGTAATTGATTGAACGTGATTAACGTACTAATGTGTCCCGTAGGTAGTTGAGGTCCTTCTCCGAAGATAATTCGGGCAATCCCGTCGAGATCATCATGGCGAACAATGACAGTATCAGGCCGCCGTGTTGTCGCAGCACGAGGAAAGCCTGCTCGCAGTGGCTCTGAAACCGCTGGAACTCGACCGCTTGGCCTTTCTTCGTTTGACCCTTATTTATCACGTGGACGAAATCGTTGGTTAACACGAAAGGCACGCGTTCACGCCTGAATCCGAATTTCTCTTTGAAATGCCCGAGTATGTGGCCGAAATCAACGTGGAACAGTTGTCCGGTCTTCTTCACCATTATGTTGTCCGAGTGTCGATCCGCGATCCCCAGGACGTACGTGGCCACGCAGTAACCCGCGCAGCTCAACGTGAACTCCTCGATAGCTTTGTTCAACGCCGCTTCCGTGTGATTGTGGTCTTTCAGCCAGGCGAGCAGGGAACCCCGCCTGAAAACGAGTAACAAATTACAATTTAATTTAAGAGAATAGTTTCGTTACCTAATTTATATGTGACTTTTTGTTAAATTCAGTTGAAAGAATCTTGTCTACAGAGAATTAGGAAGTATAGAATATTTCAAGTGAGAAACTTAGTTTCGTTACCTAATTTATATATGATTTCTTGCTAAATTCATTTTAAGGAATCTCCTCTACATCAAATTAGAAAGTATAGAATATTTCAAGTGAGAAATTTTCGAAGGGTTAACCCTTTGCACTCCGTTGATATTGTAAGATAAGTTTATAACTTCGTTTTTAGTCAAACATAACTTTAAAATGTACAAGCGCTTTTTTAACCGTATTTCCGGAAACAAAACAATACAATTGTAAATTGACTGAACGGAATGTCTTCAAAAAACGGTCTGACACGGAACGTGTTAAAACTGATTCGGAGTTGCTGAAAGTTTATATCAAAAATTGCTCGGAGCGCAAAAGGTTAATTAGCCTCCCTTAAACTCCCTTAGACTAGAAGAGCACTTCTTTCGCATCTCGCACCTGAACGCAGCGGTCGCCGAGAACGTCCCCTTCTCTTTCTGAATGTTCGCTATCGTTTCCGCGTTCAGGACCACCTCGATCATTCCAACTCTGTTCTCCGTCGATATGCAACCGTAAGGATTCATTCGTAAATCCAGGCCCTCCCTTTTCCACAGTTTGTCCATGATCCGTAACATCTGAAGCGTCAGCATGTCTTGCCTCAGGTCGTCCCCGTGCTTCAGTATTAAATAGATGTCGTCGCCGAATGGATCGGTATTTTCAAATACTAGCCAGAGCGGCCGCATTTTGCTGTCCATTACTCTGCACTTCTCCATTCTGCAAGCAGAGTATTATACATTGTTAGGAACCGTTGATCGATCAGATTCAATATTATAATACATATGTGTAGGATTAATTCGTTGAGAATCCCACGTGTTGCCGTGGCGAGGAATGATAAGAAAAAATACACTCACCGGGTAACAATAAGAAAAATGTGAAGAATTATTTTAACACTAGAACTACTGAGTATTTAATACGATTAATATGTAATCCCTATAAAAATTGTAATAACTGATTATTATCAATTTCTTCAGACACTCATTATAGTATTCCAGTGAAACTATTTACTTTCAAGATCATTTCGAATATTCAATGCTTTCAAGATATCAATAATTACGAAATAAAAACGTTGGAACCAGTCATTTTGATTGTTACGGTAGTTCTAGTGTCAACCCTTTGCACTCGACAATATTTTTCATTAAAACTATTCATTACTTTCCGACAAAGTATTAACGATATTTTTCGCAATTAAGACAATTATCAACGTACTTGATACGCTTCCACCGGAAACTCGGATCCAACGGGTTCAACACGTTCGAAAGTGCTTCCTGGCAGTGGGGCTGTTGAATGAACTCCTGGAAACCTTGCAGGGCAGCTTTACGGTCTTTCCGTTGCTTTATATGGTCGGAAGCGCACTTCAATTTCCCCAGACACTCCATTTGCTTGAACAGCGATCGCATGTGCTGCTGGCTTCCTCGACAGTAGGCTTCCAATATCAAACCGAAGCGAACGGACACCGCGCCGACTTGCATTTCCGATCTGCGAACCAAACGTTAGTTTCAGGGAAAGAGAAAATGATTTTTGAAGCAAAAGAGAAGTAAATTGATTTTTATAAGAGCGATCGTAAACCTTTCCTTTCATCAGTCTCTTTCGTCTTTTGTTTCACAGAAACGCAGATGGTAGTATCATATCACGCTGACGTTATTTGAAACGATTCACCGATTTACACGGTGCATTTTATACAGGGTGGAAATTATAAAGCGTTACAGTCGAATATCTCAGAAAATATTGATTATACGCAAAAATGTTTCAGACGAGGGTTGTTCGATACCGAGGGGGACATCATGTGGAACTTTTATTTTTCCTGGTACACTCCAAGGTGAGGTGAAGGTCAACTTTTTTTTCTAAGTGGAATGATACGTTTTTTTATTCACCATCGAGTAGTGCGTTTTAAGACGAATTCAAGGACCTATGGCTCAAGGTCATTCAAGGTCAAACTTGCAGGGAAATTATAAAGCGACAGCAAAGAGAAAATATTTTCCAAACCTAAGATGCCAGAACAGGAAATGACCGATCCTCCGATTGTTTAGGGCGCGTCTCAGCAAGAACTCAGTCAAATCGCAGGACAGGTAATTCTCGTGTTTCAAGGCTTGCACCAGCTGGAGTAGATACAAACTTAAGTCTTCGTCGCTGACGTCCATTAAACAACGCACGGCGAAGCTTCGGACATTCTGGTCCGCGTAAGCGTAATCCAGTAGCTCGAGGGCTTTCTCGACCGGTAATTTCGGCCATTGTTGGACCAACGCTGTAGCCTCGGCCACTTCGCTGTACGCATTGGAAATCGAGAAGAAAAGTGAAATCACATTTCTTTTTCTTTATAGAGATACGCAATTGATTTATCCAACGTGTTAAGATGATTCACCTATAATCGTTCCATTCTACGCAATGCAATAATTTCGCCAAGAGCGTGGGGATCTCGTGGAGGCAATGATGCCGCAACGTCCACATGATCTTTCGTTCTTGCTCGTGCAGCTCGTGCAACGGATCCCTGTCCGCCAACAGGCGCAGCTGTTCGAGTTGCTGGAGCTTGCTAACGTCCGAGTCTTGATCCGGCTCCTCTTGGATTGATCGTTCGGCGGACGATTCGCGCAACTTCCTCGCGTGCTCGACCATTTTCTCCGGTGTCGGGTACAGAACGGACTTGTCCTTTCCGTAACTAGATGTATTGTCAAATAAAAGGCGTTGATGTAGCTTGGATTTACGTGGCGGGGAGAGAAAGGGAGAGAGAAACTGATGAGATAGATAAATAAATAGATAAATAGAGATAGATAGATAGGTAGAAAAATAGAGAGATAGATATATAGATTGATAGAAAAATAGAGAGATAGATATATAGATATATAGATTGATAGAAAAATAGAGAGATAGATATATAGATAGATAGAAAAATAGATAGATAGATAGATAGAAAAATAGATAGATAGATAGATAGAAAAATAGATAGATAGATAGATAGAAAAATAGATAGATAGATAGATAGAAAAATAGATAGATAGATAGATAGATAGAAAAATAGATAGATAGGTAGATAGAAAAATAGATAGATAGATAGATAGATAGATAGATAGATAGATAGAAAAATAGATAGATAGATAGATAGGTAGGTAGACAGAAAATAAAAGAAGAAAAGAAATAGACATCGAACAGAACTCACTTTGGAAACGTTAACATTAGAGCAGCTGCTCTATCAATATGAGGATTCGACACTACCGTTCCAAGGGAATGTAACAGATCGTCGTTTTGCATGTCCTCCGCGTACGTCCACGTATAAAGTGTCATCGCCCCGGTCTTCAATTGGGACTTGAAGTCGTATATAGTCGTGTTGGCCCAGCATAACGGATTTATAAAAAACTCTTGTTTCGTGTCTTTAACCAGCCTACGGCTTTTCAGTCCTTTCGCGGTTTTGCTTATCTCGTATAAAACCAAGCACAGCCTAGCCATCCGCGGTATATCTCGCACTTTAATGTCGAATCTCAATGTCTCTTCCCACTCACAACTACCATCCGCGTTGACAACGGTCTCTTTCGTCTTCTGGCTTTCGCACAGCGACTTTCCACCATGAAAAAGTCCAGCTTGAAGCCCGATCTATGGACATCGGAACGGAAAAAAACAAAACACGCATCAGCGTCTAAGCAACATGGGCAAGCGTAATCATAAAACACGGCTCACGCCGTACCTCGACAGTGCGATGCGCGGCGTCGCAGTTTAACCGTGATATTCCATTCACAGTGAAAATGAACGGTTCCTCTATCTTCCAGGCGGATATCAGTTTACCCTTTTTACGTAGGGTCGGCGGAGGAAAGGGTCTGGCGCGTTGCGAACCATCCGCTGCGTCCGCGTTCTCGACGGCATTCTCCTGATCGACGCACACGCTGTCTCTGCTCAACGTGACCAACGTCGGTAGAATATCTTTCGCCAAACAATCCTGAATGTAACTAAACTGTATAAGGGGATAGTCCCCTATCAGATACTCCTCCTGTCCGCAAACTTTTAGCGTGAAGTCGTTCGGATGGCCGCGCGACATCAACGTGTTGGCCCGTTTGTTCAATATTGACACCAACAGCTGATACGGCGTCATGGTGTGCGACATCTGGAACGTGAACGCCGTCTGAAATAGGAAGAGACTTTAGTTACCGATTTCGTCCGATGTTGTTCTCGGTCCCGCGCTTTCCTATCCCTACCCCGACCCGTATCCCTACCCCGTTGTCTCTCTCCCATCGCTTCGTGTCAGTTTCTTTTCCCGCCGATTTCTCGTCCTTTCATTGGGAGAATGATGGAAGGATGACGCAACAAGGGATCGAGAAGAAACTGAGGAGAAAGAATTAGCAGATATTTAAATGATGTAATAGACAAGAGAATACGTGAAAACGAGAAAGAATCCAGCGGTAATCCATAACCTAACTATCGCGACCACTGGGCAAGTTCGAATAGATCCGTTCGACGATGGGCTCGCGAGGCGTCTCGGGATATTTGAAATTCAAAATCGTTTCCGGCGATAACCGCGAGATGGTAGCACGGAATACTCGAAACTCGTACCTTTATGCGTAACAGGCCAGCTGTATTTTGTACATCAGATATCATTTGACATAAAAAGAGAAGAGAAAGAGAAGCGAGGATAATTGCTCGATCAAGCGTACTTTCTTCGCCAGGGACGCATGCGCACTGGTAATCGATTTTGGAAAAAAGACCAGGTTTCGCTTCTGTGAAGATACTCTGTGCTTCAAACATGTCGACAGCTGAGACGATCAACGAACAATACAACGAAGAGTACAACGAAGAGTACAACGAGAAAGATTTAAAAGGGATCAGTGCTCGTTCCTATCGCGTACTGGAAGTCGAGAACGAGAAATGTCGGCAGGAGATATACGATCTAAAACGCAAATTGGAATTAAACGAAGCGATGCTTCGGGAAGTTCAAGAGATGAACGAATTACTTGAGCACTCTCTCGATCGACGAGTTTCAGAGAAAGAGAAAATGATTTTTGAAGCAAAAGAGAAGTAAATTGATTTTTATAAGAGCGATCGTAAGCCTTTCCTTTCATCAATCTCTTTCGTATTTCGTTTCACAGACATCGCGTCGCTACGAAAGAATACGAAAACACAATTGCAAATTTGGAAACGAACTTGGCGAAACGGGCGACGGAAATTGAAGAATTGCGTCAACAGATTAATCAACAGAAAGAAACAGAATGTGCGCAAACTGTAAATCAATTGGCGAATCTTTCCCTGGAAGCAGACAATACCGCTCTGAAACAACGCATTGATCAACTCATGATGCTTCTACACGAAGAAAAACAAAGATCTGATTGTGCCGAAAGTACGATTCATGAACTAAAAGCACAATGCAATGAATTCGAACACATTATTCAGGTAAGAAGCGATTTGTTCGCGTATTTCTCTAAAAAAATATCATGTTCCCTGTTTGATACCACCATGGATCGAAATACAAACGTACGTATCTTTTATTATTAACAGAATATCAAGGAACAATTGAACGAGAAAAGTACAGCTCTAGAAGGTGCTCTGGAAGAACTTGCACTGAGACACGCAGAAGCAGGATCCCTGGATACGAATCCTACAAGTGATTCATCTAAAGGTAAGTTAAGCATAAAAAATTCAATTCGAACAATTTGCTAGTTTTTTTCCTGATTTCCCAACGTGTTTCTTTTCAGGCAATTCACTTTTTGCTGAAATAGAGGATCGCAGACGAGACACAGTAAATAAAATGAATACATTACACCATAAGTACACTGAAGTAAAACGTACTTGTACATTACAACTAGCAGAGATCAAAATGTTAAGAAGAGAACGAATCGCGATGCTTCGAAAATGGGAAAATGACGCGGGAAATGCCGTAGTGGAAACCGACGACTTAATACAGAAATATAAAAACAGAGTGTCGGATCTTGAAAGAAAACTTAAATCAGAAATCAACAAATGTCATGAACCTGCCCCAGAAAACCTTGATTGTTCATCATTCGGGTAAATCTAGTTTGGATTATAGAAATTTAATATGGATTATTCATGTACATTTCATTTACTTTCTAACGTTTACCATAGGTACTTTCAATCGTTATTATTCGCTAACAAGAAGGCGGACGAACTTCGTATAAAAGTAGAAGACCTTTCCACACAATTGTTAGTACAACAAGAGGCAAAACTGAATATTAGTAAACAATTACAACGTTCGCAATGTAAAGTTTCATCATTAGAGGTAATTATTTTTCAATTTTACACTTGCTAATGTATATGCAACTTTAGAAAGTTACTTCATTTTATAGACCCAGATGTATGCTTTACGAAGTAAATTAAAATTGGACCTTGAGGATAATGCAAATACTAAAATACACTTAGAAGAGTTACAAGATTTCACTTGTGCACGTAATAATGATGTAATGACTGCAGAAACTGAATTAGTTGCTAAACAACGATCGGAAGATGCGATTTTTACACCTCAGAATAATAAGGATTGCAAACTTGCGGATCTATCGAAGACAGAAGAAATTATTAATCACGAAACTGTCGTCGAGGAAGCTACTATTACATCGAGAGAGCCATGTGAAATTAATCGTATTAGAAATGCTACTAAAGATAAAAATAAATTTTCCAAAAAGACTGCACAATTTAGCAAAAATGTTGTCTACATACCAACAGACAGTAATACATGACAAAAGTGCTATTTAATTTTTTTACAAGTCTATTACTTATGATTAAATAAGCCTATTTGTATGATATTAATATAACTACCAGCATCACCACATCGTTCATTACCTAACACATAGTAATAAAATTAATAATAAATTTGTACTTATTTCTTACCTCTGTGTTTTCAAATTTTGTAACAAGAACGATATTGCCATCCTTTAAACGACATTCAATATTTTTTGGTATTGCAGCAGTGGGTGCTAATCGTGTAGGAAATTGGTAACGTACTTTTTCCATCCAAGACTTTTTCCGTCTTGCCACTGCAACTTCATCTCCCAACATTCGCATTTTCCATCTGAAGTCGTTTACTTCGGAATTCTTTAAAGCTGCGAACTCGTGTAATCCTTTCCCAATTAATACACCAATTTGCGAATCTAAATTTCTATCGCTTTTCACGCCTTCGTGCTCTATTACTTTCAGCAAAGAGCAAAATGGCTTTATATCGCATAAACGTCTGCTCTCGTCCCGCAGCTCCTCTGTTTCGGCGTTAGAATTAATACATAAAAATACATAGGATGGAGCATCTTTCAACGTGCCATGAAGAGGATATTTACTGGCTTCGTCCCACAGATCCTAAACACCAATCCGTTCTATTGTGTACTCTGTTTACCGTTAAATCCTTAGTATAACGAACAAGATACGTATTATTAAATAAAGCTTACCTCTTTTATTTCAGCCAAAGTAATGTTACAATTAGTTTCGAACGGTATAACGACTCCATTTGGCATTAAACAGAACAATTGAACGACTTCGGTGAGCGAGTTTGCCCAAAAATTGTATGTGTATGCACTTGGTATGTGGATCATGTTGTCAGATATTATCGATAAAACGTATAAAAATTCAATGTAACACACCAGACAATTGCCGAAATATAATTAGTTTAAAAAAGAAGAACAAAATACGTTCCCGTAGACGCATTGCGACCGAAGATATTCTCTTTTCCTTAGGCAATGTGTCTCCATTGATTCGGCTGGTAAAGAGTCGCATGACAAACGCCCGTGTTTCATGAAATTTTATCCCTCATCTTTACATCCTTAAATATAACTTCATATTTTCCTCAAACTTTTGAAAGCTATGGAACTCCGTTTAACCAATAAACTTGTTTGGCCAGTTATTAGCTTCCGATTGAAATCATAAAGCTTCCCATCGATGTTTACCCCTTAGTAGAATACAAAGTATAACTTTGTTTGACTAATCGTGAATGAAATTCATGAGATCGTCTCCCTCTATGTGTGATAACAGCACTAGTCAGCCATTACGTCTACAAGTACATTCTGTCTACTGCCCACATATCTAAATATATATACATATGTATATAGAGAGCACAGCCACACTGTTTCCGCACGCTCGCTTTACTCACACACACACACTACAGTGTACGAAATAAACTGCCCAACTTGCTCTTGCTTCTTGAGAGATCTTACAAAAAAATCGCATTCCTATCTATGTTATCACGTTCCATGGTGTAGATTTTAGCGCCATGTATTCGTCCGCGGAACTATTACCGATTACATTGTAGTTTGAACGTTTTCGTCACAGACGAGCTACAGGATAGACACAAGTTGCAATGGAAAATTTCGTCCCAGGACCATTTTACCATTTTCGCGTCACGCCCTGTTATGTCGACTTCGATCGGTTTTGCATGGCAGCGTTATAAGCGATAGGAATTAGAATCAAGAATATTCAAACAGATTTCTTTAATTTCAAATTCTGCAAATTCGTTCGTAAAAATCTGTGAGTACTGCGCAAGTCACAACTCGTTCTCATCATCAAAAGTTTGTTTTTAGTAATATTCAATAATTTATAATCGACACTGTATTTCAACGATTACGAGTTTCTATTCGATTAACATTTAATTTTAAAGCAGCAAAGTTGTAAGACAATATGGAAAATATTCATGGCGCTATCTACATCAAAATGGCCGAACTACGTCACAGCTAATAACTTATACCTTCCACCGTAGATGACACTAGGAACCGTTTTAATTTATTACGCACGGAAAACTTGAAAACATTGAAGATGCGTAGGTAACAATTATTAATATACAATATCAGTTCAGAGTACGAAATTGAATACAATATTATCGCGGAGAATGTTTATTTCAAATTTTTGTATTTTCTACGTCTTGTTACATTTCATCCCCCAGTGTTTGATAAAATAACGAATTCCGTGACGTAAACGGTGACCAATATTTAACGTCACCGATATCAAATTATTCCGTAGACGACGGAAAACAGCATGAAAAAAATGAAAGTTATTTTATCTGGGTTTACGCGTAAGAAATAGAGAGTAAATCTCAAGCGCCAAATAACGTCACGTGGTCTGCACTCATAAGTTCGTCCCATGCTTAGGGAAAGTCGATTCGGTAATAGAAAATTTTTAATGGAACGCGGTTTTCGCACCACCGTAAGAAATGTTTAGGAAATATCGACAATGTACAACGAGGAGACGGTTAGGATAATATTTTACAATTAAAACACTCTATGACGCCAACAGTAATGAGCAACTGTTCCCCTTTGTCTAGGGTTTTTCGGGAACACAGTGTTTCCGATAATCTCTCTATCAGCGATAGATACTCGGGTACAGCTGAAGTGAGTGTGAAGCAGCGTAAAGTGCTCGAACTGACTTGACCCCGGATCTTTATGTCGTTCGATTCCGAATAAATTCTTCCGTGTCGAGGGAAACTCTGTCCGCGTAGAGATGGCTGATTTCTTAGATTCGGAAGCGGAGGAAAGCGAGGTATCCGCGTTGCTCGGGTTTGCGTAGAAAAATCTGGATTATTCGTTTCGTCTGTTCCCTCGGTGATCGGCAATTTATGTCACTGATCGATGCGTTTTGTTATATTGTAGGAGGAGGAGGAGTTGGACGAGAACGAGAAGAAAAAGCTGAAAAAGATAAAGGCCGTCGAGGAAAGCGACGAGGATGAGGAGGAAGGTGAGAATGAAGTAATATATATTGTGATTTTCCATTGTAATTGGCTATGGAATTTTTTTCATCCTTCAAAGTACCATACTTTTCCTTTTATCGTGATTGTTACGCAATAGAGACAGACGTATATCGTTCTATGTTCGTGCACAGATGATGAAGATCGTTTACGCGAAGAACTCAAGGATCTGATAGACGACAATCCCATCGAAGAGAGCGAAGGGGAAGACAGCGACGGCTCGGGGACTTCCAAGAAACGTAAGAAAAGCGACGACGAAGATTTCGACGATCGCTTGGAAGACGAAGACTACGATTTGATAGAGGAGAATTTAGGAGTTAAAGTCGAAAGGGTATACACGCGAATCAGTTTGCTTTACACATAGATCGATAAACTGTACGGATGTAGTGATATGATCCTTTACTTTAGAAACGTTTCAAACGCCTCCGCAGGATACAAGATGAGGAATCAGAGGAGGAACAAGAGAAAGAAGTGGATGAGGATAGGGATGCTATCGCGAACGAGCTTTTCGAGGTCTCGGGAGATGTAAGCATGCTACCCAATATACGTGTGCTCTTACGTATGATTTTGTTGCTTTTAGTTCTAATGAAACAAGTTCCGTTGTTTTGTGTAACGTGAAATGCATAACTTTTGTGCTTCTTTTCATATTTCCTCTCTCAGGAAAGAGAAATTAGTATGGTATGTACAGTAGTTGAAAAGACGAATGATCGTTGCATTTCTGATTGGTCCGACGATATCAATTTGCGTTATTTGTCAGGAGGATGAGAGGAGAAGCGAGCGGAGTCACAGGCCCGAGGCGGAAACGTTCGACGAGGAGGGAAGCGAGGGCGAATACACTGACGCGGATGATTTTATCGTGGACGACGATGGCAGGCCGATCGCCGAGAAACGTAAAAAGAAGAAGCCCATATTTTCGGACGCCGCGTTGCAGGAAGCTCAGGATATTTTCGGCGTCGATTTCGATTACGATGAGTTCGGTAAGTACGGCGAAGAGGACTACGAGGAGGAAGAGGAGGAGGAAGAGGAGGAAGACGAGTACATGGACGAGGAGGACGCCGAAAGACCGAGAAGACCCAAGAAGCAACTGAAGAAGAAGACCACGAGGAAGAGCATTTTCGAAATTTATGAGCCCAGCGAACTGAAGCGTGGTCACTTCACCGACATGGATAACGAGATACGTAATACTGACATACCGGAGAGAATGCAACTCCGCTCGGTTCCCGTTACGCCGGTGGCAGAGGGTTCCGACGAACTGGACCTGGAAGCGGAGTGGATCTACAAGCAGGCGTTCTGTCGTCCAACCATTTCCATCCAAGACGCTCATTTGAATGCCGAAGCTAAAGAGCGGGCTCGAAAGGGTCCGCAGACAATTGGGAAGATCAAGAAAGCTCTGGACTTCATGCGGAATCAGCACTTCGAGATTCCCTTCATCTCCTTCTACAGAAAGGAGTACGTCCTACCGGAGCTGAACATCAACGACCTCTGGAAGGTGTACAAGTTCGACGCGAAATGGTGTCAGCTTCGCCAGAGGAAGGAGAACCTGATGAAGCTGTTCGAGAAGATGCGGAACCACCAGCTGGACGAGATCATGAAGAACCCCGACGCTCCGTTGCCGGACAACGTGCGGGTGATCAAGGACGACGACATAGAGCGGCTGAAGAACGTGCAGACCAGCGAGGAGCTGAACGACGTGTACCACCACTTCATGCTGTACTACAATCACGAGATCCCAGCGATGCAGGAGTCGGTGCGGCAGAAGGAGAAAGAGGCGCGTCGCGAGGCGAAGCTTCAGAAGCGCAGGCAGCAGCTGGCCGACGCCGAGGAGAACGGCGAGGATCCACCGCCGGAAGAAGAGCCGGAGGCGGAGGAGGAAGAGGAGCCGGACGACACGTTGAAGCAGGCGGTGCGGACCGGTCCGTACTCGATCTGCAGACGAGCCGGGCTCGACGGTCTGGCGAAGAAGTTCGGTCTCACTCCTGAGCACTTCGCCGAGAACCTGCGGGACAATTACCAGCGACACGAGGTGGACCAGGAGCCCACGGAGCCGCTGAGCATCGCGAACGAGTTCTGCAGTCAGATACTCACCACGCCGGAGGAGGTGATGAAGGCCGCGCAGCTGATGGTAGCCATACAGTTAGCACGCGAGCCGTTGGTCAGGAAATGCGTGAGGGAGATGTACATGGAGAGGGCGAAGATCTCCGTGCGGCCGACGAAGAAGGGCATCAAGGAGATCGACGAGAACCATCCCATCTACAGCATGAAGTACCTCAAAGACAAGCCCGTGCGCGACCTGGTCGGCGACCAGTTCCTGAACCTGGTGATAGCCGAGGAGGACAAACTGATCACGATCTCCTTGAGCGACTCCATCGAGGGGAACACCAGCAGCAACTACGTCGACGAGACGAAGCAGCTGTACTACCGGGACGAGTTCAGCAAGAACGTGCAGGACTGGAACGCCCTGAGGGTGAGCAGCGTGGAGATGGCGCTGACGCGCATGGTCATACCCAGCCTGAAGAAGGAGCTGAGAACGAACCTGGTCGCGGAGGCGAAGGAGTGCGTGATGAGGGCGTGCTGCCGGAAGATGTACAACTGGATCAAGGTGGCTCCGTACACCTGCGAGTTCCCCGAGGAGGAGGACGAGGAGTGGGACACCAGCAAGGGGCTGCGGGTGATGGGTCTGGCCTACGTGCCCGACTACTCCCAGGCCGCGTTCACCTGCCTCATAGCGCCGGACGGGGAGTGCACGGACTACCTGCGGCTGCCGCACCTGATGAAGCGGAAGAACAGCTACCGCGAGGACGAGAAAGCCATGAAGGAGGCGGACCTGCTGGCGCTGAAGAACTTCCTGGCGACCAAGAAGCCGCACGTCGTGGTCATCGGCGGCGAGTCCAGGGAGGCGATGATGATCGCCGCTGATATCAAGGAGTGCATCACGGCCCTGGCCGAGGAGGAGCAGTTCCCAGCCATTCAGGTCGAGATCTGCGACAACGAGCTGGCCAAGATCTACTCGAATAGCAACAAAGGCGTGTCCGAGTTCCGGGACTACCCGGAGCTGTTGAGGCAGGCGATCTCCCTGGCCAGGAGGATGCAGGATCCCCTGGTCGAGTTCTCCCAGCTGTGCACCGCGGACGAGGAGATCCTCTGCCTGAAGTACCACGGGCTGCAGGACCAGCTGCCCAAGGACGAGCTGCTCGAGAACCTCTACCTGGAGTTCGTGAACCGGGTGAACGAGGTCGGCGTGGACGTGAACAAGGCGGTGCAGCAGGCGTACTGCGGCAACCTGGTGCAGTTCGTCTGCGGCCTGGGCCCGAGGAAGGGCCAGGCCCTGATCAAGATGCTAAAGCAGACCAACCAGAGGATAGAGAACAGGACGCAGCTGGTCACCGCCTGCCACATGGGGCCCAAGGTCTTCATCAACTGCGCCGGCTTCATCAAGATAGACACGAACAGCCTGGGGGACAGCACCGAGGCGTACGTGGAGGTGCTCGACGGGTCACGCGTCCATCCGGAGACCTACGAGTGGGCGAGGAAGATGGCGGTGGACGCGCTGGAGTACGACGACGAGGACGCCAACCCTGCCGGCGCTCTGGAGGAGATCCTGGAGTCCCCTGAACGACTGAAGGACCTGGATCTGGACGCGTTCGCGGAGGAGCTGGAGAGGCAGGGCTTTGGCAACAAGTGCGTCACGCTGTATGACATCCGCGCGGAGCTGAACTCCCGGTACAAGGACCTGCGCGTCCCGTATCAGTCGCTGAGCGCAGAACGTCTCTTCGACGTGCTCACCAAGGAAACGCCGGAGACCTTCTACGTAGGCAAGCTGATCCTGGCTAGTGTGGTGGGCATCAGCCACAGGAAGCCGCAGGGCGACCAGCTGGATCAGGCGAACCCCGTGAGGAACGACGAGACCGGTCTGTGGCAGTGCCCCTTCTGCCTGAAGAACGACTTCCCAGAGCTGTCAGAGGTGTGGAACCATTTCGACGCAGGCGCCTGCCCCGGAAAAGCCACTGGCGTCAGGCTGAGGCTGGACAACGGGATATCTGGTTACATTCATATCAAAAACCTGTCCGACAGACACGTCGCTAATCCTGAGGAGAGAGTGAGCATAGGGCAGATCATTCATTGCCGTATTATCAAGATAGAGGTGGAACGGTTCAGTGTTGAGTGCACCAGCAAGAGCAGCGACCTCGCCGATAAAAACCACGAATGGAGGTAGCACACCTGATCCTGAATTGATTCTATTGGACTTGCTTTAACCCATTTTGTCGGACAATTCTGATTTGTCGGTTTAATGGTAGTACAGTCACTGGCCAATTTGAAAACTATATTAACCCTTTGCACTTGGAAGTTTTTCACTAGAAATATTTGAACATTTTCTGATGAGGTACAGATAACATTTAGTGAAATAAACTTGAAGAGAAATTATATTACATTGAGGTGCATTGAAGAACAAAGCTATTTTATTTCAATATTTTTTTAATTGATCAGTTATGCAAGGTATGATATTAAATATGAAATTTTATAGTTTTACTGTTTGAAATGGTGACTGAGAGTCACCTCTTGAGTGCAAAGGGTTAACACTAGATTGTTGATATCTTCATAGCACCGAATATGATAGTTTCCAGAATAAGTAATTTCAACTGAATACTCTAATGAATTCAAGAAACTGGAAACAATCTATTGTTAAGATTTTCATAATGATCACATGTCAATCATAGTAAATTCTCAGTAGTTCTATCATTAGAGAGATGAAATGGCAAAATGGGTTGAATAAGATCAATATTCAAGGGTAACTGGAACATTCTACTGATCCATTGATTTGTAGGCCACAGAGAGATCCCTTCTACGACACCGAGGCGGAGCAGAAGGACGTCAAGGTCGAGGAGGACGCGAAGAAGGCGAAGCAACGTCAGACCTACGTGAAACGGGTGATCGTCCACCCGTCGTTCCACAACATCAGCTTCACGGAGGCGGAGAAGCTGATGCAGACCATGAAGCAGGGCGAGGCGATCGTCAGGCCGAGCAGCAAGGGCGCCGACCACTTGACGGTCACGTGGAAGGTGACCGACGAGGTTTACCAGCACATCGACGTGAGGGAAGAGGGGAAAGAGAATGCTTTCTCCCTGGGACAGAGTCTGTGGATCGGGAACGAGGAGTTCGAGGATTTGGACGAGATCATCGCGAGACACGTGAACCCAATGGCCGCGTACGCCTCGGAGCTGCTGGACTTCAAGTACTACAAGCCAACCGTCGAGGGGATCAAGGACAAAGCGGAGGAGATCCTGAAGGAACAGAAGAAGGACAATCCCGGTGGGATACCGTACATCATATCCGCCGCAAAAGTTTGTACCGATTAGCTCTAACGCGTCCCACGGTGCGCTCGTCCTTCGTAGCCAACACTTTTCCGTGCACGTTTCAGAATTACCCTGGAAAATTCCTGCTGTCCTATCTGCCGCGTGCCCGGTGCCGCCACGAGTATGTAACAGTGTCGCCGGAGGGATTCCGATTCAGAGGGCAAATGTTCGGCAGGGTGAATGATCTGTTTCGTTGGTTCAAGGAACATTTCCGAGATCCGGTACCGGGTCAGTCCACTCCTAGCACGCCGCGCGGCGCGATGACTTCTAGGACACCGTATCACACCACGCCGGGAGCAGTCAGCGGTGGGTAATTCTCGACGTTCTCAACATGAGAGACAATAATAATCGTAATAATAATAATAATAGTAATGGTAATAATAATAATAATAATAATAGTAATAATAATAATAATAGTAATAGTAATAGTAATAGTAGTAATAGTAATAGGAGTAATCGTAATAGGAGTAATAGTAATAGTAGTAATAGTAGTAATAGTAATAATAGTAATAGTAATAGTAGTAATAGTAATAATAGTAATAATAATAATAGTAATGATAATAATAATAGTAATGATAACAATAACGATAAGAATAATAATTAATTAATAATTACTATGATAATACTAATAATAATCGAATAATAATGATAACGCGCGTGGCCATTCGGTTGGCTAAGCGTTAATTACACCTGGTCCCAGTAATGGTTTGAACGGTGAATATCTGTTGCAGGAATGAACCAAGAAGCGATACAGAGAGTGGCGCAGAACCTTCCTCATCATATGTTGCATTCTTTGTCGCAAGTGGCGAATCAGACACCGCATCATTATCCGCCTCACACGCCAGGAACAGCGAGCGTGGCAGGTTACGGTGGAGTCCATACCTATCCGAACACACCGTACACGCCATCCGGTCAGACGCCATTTATGACACCGTACCAGACGCCTCATCACACACCGCATCACGGCCAGCCGACACCCAGATACGGACAGCAGACGCCTAATCATCAGCAAGGTCCTTTCGTTCATCCACCTCCTCCTTCGGTCGCCACTCCGGGTCATCATCGATCGACCCCGTCGCACCGACCTACGCCTCCTATGTCGACACCCGGCGACCCAATGGACTGGAAGAAGGCAGCCGAAGCCTGGGCGAGATTGAAAACCGGCCCTCGAATGTCGTGAGTATCTCTGTTTCATGAACTAGTTCTCTAGGAACAATAAAGTGTAGAATAAACGCCCGTAAATCTATTATTAATCTAAGCCAAACCGTTCGGACGTGTTTACTGTTGTACATTGTTTTTCGTTGTTTTTATTTACAGCTCGACTCCGAGATACGACGAATCGAGGAAAACGCCACGAAACTACGAGGAATCGGTGGGAAGAACAACTCCGCGAAACAGGACATCAACACGGACACCGTCTTACAAATCTCCGCGGGGAACACCGCATACTAATTCTAGTCCTCGGAGTATGTCTCTCAGCGGAGATGGTACACCATTGTACGACGAAAGCTAACGGATTCGTATCCGCATAATACTTGGCACTTCAAACGATATATCATTCGGCATGATATACAAAGAGAGAAAAAGAAAGAATACATACAGAACAGTATGTAAGTGAAACAAGCAATTTGATGGGGTTTCGTCACACGGAAGGTATACTTAGCGACGGGCAACTATTGTGCTGTATAAAAAGGAATGGTAAAGCCATTCACAAAGTTACTGTAAACGCGTTAACCCTCTGTGGGCCGAATTTTTGATCATGATTATAACAAAATCTATGCAGTGCAAAATTAATAGATATCCACATATGAAGACGAGTTAACAATATATTCAATAGTTTCAATAATTTCATGAAACAAATATATTTTGTAACTTTCAAGTTACAATGACGTTAAACTTTCACGCCTGATAAAAGTTTAAGTTGACTGATTACTTCATTTTACTCACCACTTTGAGTGGAAAATGAAATGAATCAACAAGATGTTGAATCAACAAGTTACATAGGCCTACAGAGGGTTAATAAATTGATATCTTCCCCTGCACGTTTATATATTTAGGTGAGCGATATTGGATGCATACTAAGAGACGGCATGCTTCGTATATATGCGTATGTACATATGAAATATCAATGATTACGTTGGAACGTATTCACACTTGGCACGATTGAAGAATCGTAAAACTTTGAAATCCATTTATTAATGATTCATTTTATCACCGTACTACCGCATACCAGGACTTATGCTTTGGTATATGTAACTCGATTCCTCTCTCTCTCGATTTTAACTTTACTGATACTAAGTTATTGTACATTTCTTATGTTATTGGCTTAGGAATGGAATATATTTCTTACGCGCTTTATACAGTTGTTAAATCACATTATTAAACAATAAAATAGACTACAAAATACTTTGCGTTGTAATCATTTCGATAGACGTATATATACATTGACCTCGAATAAAATATAATCATCCCTCTTTGTTTATATGTTTTATTTTAAAAATCTAGCGAAATTATAGAGCATCAGATTACGTCAATGATAATTATAAAACAAATGATATGTATAAACGGATATTCATGAACGTACGACTATTATACATGAGATTCTTGATCCTCGGATAACGTGTCATCCATTTGTCGAAAATTTTTATAATACAAACATTCTTCCGTGTAACAATTCTCAGTTGGAGGTGCGTACTGATTCGTGGGCCTGGATAAGTAGAATAAATATCAACAACATGGAACATTATATACAGGGAAATTGGTAATAATAACACACTTAAAAGTTACGTTTGTTTATCGCCGACTTGTGCACTCAATTTACCACTCGACCTTGTTTTCAACTTAGTTGAGCTCGATATTAGTTTCGTTTCTCCGTCGTCCAACTGATGTTTACGCTGTAAAACGAATGGGATTATTTATTCAATAATTTGAACAAGTATGCAGTAATAAATCATTTACCGAATTTTCTCCATTTACTACTACTTTCCCATCGAATTTATTTATTGTACGAGTAGAGTTAAAAGGTTCCTGTGGGTTCGAGTTAAATTTTTGTCTCTAACAAATTGAGCATCGGATAAATAAATATATGTATATGTATATTCTAAAGGGAAATAGCTGTTGAAAGAGGAAAACGTCAACCGTTACCTTCTTTGCTGGCGATTTTTTACAATCACTGGAATCGCTGGAATCTGACCCTTCTACTATTCTTTTTATCTTTTTCCTTTCCCCACCTTTGCGAGTAGTGTTTTCAACTTGTCTTGTATTTTCTGTGCTTCTGTTATTACTTGATCTGTTCGCCGAGTTCGCACTAGAATTCTTCAATATGAAATATAAAAAATATTATGCAATAGCATTTAAAATAAATTAATTACATTATTTAAAAGAATAATAATGGACATACCTTTAATTCCTCCAAACTGCGTTTCTTTGAATTACTTTCTCCTTTCTTCGTTTTTTTACCTTTAGCTTTATTAAGACTTTTATTTATAGACTCTAGAGAATCTTGCGGAGAACCCGGAATGTACACTGGATTATCATTTTTAAGAATGACACGCTCACCTGAGACAGAGAGGACAATTTACCTGGACACTGATCGTTCCTTCGAAAATAGATAACTTTCAAATTTTACCAGTCCAATAATGTAACGCGGGTACAATTCTTCTGCCTTTCGAGCTTATGCGAATATTCATGTCGTCAACCGAACGATCAAGGTTCGACGAGTTCTGTTCATTGTCCTTCAACGATTTCCAGATCTTACAAAACTGTTCTATTCTTGTAGGACAACCTTTGCGACATTGGTTTATCAATGATTTAGGTATCACTGTACAGACGACAATAGTTTCCAATTATTTAAACTGACATTTAAAATTTGTAAAATATTTAAATGTTATATTACCGTTACTCACCATGCTTGATATCATTCAAATCGCCGACTAGCTGATAAAATTTATGGCTTACTGTCTCGACCAATTTTTGGGACACTCGACGAAGTACGGCGTCTGTTCTGAATTTTCTATCAACAATGTGGCCAGCATCGCTACAAATTTATATTAATATATCTGTTGGATTGAATAAACAGTGAATTAACAAAATACATGGTGGAATACTTACTTCACTAATCTACCCTCGAAAATTAAACACAATGCAGGATCGCATATGACATTTGGTGTCCAACCAGATAACATGTTAACTTTGGTATCATCTTCATTAGGTTTATCATCACAAATACGATCCTCCTGTAACGACTTTTTTGATTCCTCTAGTTCTTCTTGATTGTCATCGATTAACGACACTGAATTAATGTCTCTGAAAGCGTTGGGTGTTTTCAAAGGAGACGTTTCCTCGACCAAGCGTGCTTCTTTCTCAGCTTTTTTAATATTTCTATTTGTATCCTTGACTTGTTTCACTTCTGTATGCATTGAGGTTACATTAACCGGCACTGAACTAATCACAACAGGCTTTGAAATGTTATTAGTAACATCTTTGAGTTGATAAGACGAAGGTTCTTTGAACTGTTCGTTAGATACTTCCTGCTGATGCTCATTAATCGCATTGTAAACATGTTTTCCAGGAGTTCCATTCTGAACGCTTGTTTCTGTCATTTCTTTCTTGTTTTCTGATGTTCTGTTCATTTTCTGTACATTGCTTTTATTAATACCGAAAGAATCGGACAAGTTTTCCGACGGTCTATAGATAGATGTTGAATTTACTCGACTGGAATGTTCCTGCATTCCACGAGCACTTATTTCTTTTGAAAAAACATTTGACCCTTCTTGTTGTTTCCTTGGTGTTTTACCGGGATTAACATTCTTACAAATACTGCCTTCTACATCATAATTAGCAATATCCTTGTTATTTGGAGATTCTACTACATCGCCGATAATACTAACGCTGGAGTCATAAGCATACGTGTAATTAAAATTTTTGGGGGTTACTAATGGTACATTCGAAGCGTGTTCCTTTTCCACGATATCACACCTTTGTTGTGAAACCCTCGTTCTCGATTTACGTTTGTAAGGCTTCACGAATGTTTCTCTTTGTTGCAATATTCGTTGCGCTGATATTTTTGGGACTCCGGCATAAATTTCACTCTCACTGTCGGAAGTATCCTTATCTTCGCGGCTATTCATTTTGATAGGCGTTTTCGCCTTTGGTAACTCGTTACATGCAGTAGATTTATTTTTAGTGATTATGTGTTCCGTAGTTTCAGGATATTTTCGATTTTGAAGTGTAGTAGTATTTTTACACTTACTCTTATTACAATCAATAACACTGTCTGAAGAAAATGGTTCAGTACATGTGTTGTTCTCTTGTTCTTGAATAATACCTTTATCTTGTACCGACGTTGAAGTTTCCATATTGGATTCATTCTCTTTAACTGATCCATACGATACAACGTAACTTAAACAGTCAAATATTTCAACGATTTTAGTAACAAATTCTTGAGGACAGTTCCTATCTGTTAAATTGTTGACAATAATATTTAATTTATCCTTCAATTTATTTGTCTTGTTATCGTTATAAGAACACTTTGCAACTGCATTTGTCAATTGCTTCTGATGTTCCTCATCAAAATAGTTTTGCTGATTATTTTCAATTACATCAGACATACATGTTTGTGTGAACGAATTATTCATTCTACGAGTCGGTGATTTAAAATATTCATTGCTCTTGTTTGTTTCCAAGACAGAGTCTACGTGTGACATATGCATGCTTCCTGTATACGTGATGTCCGTTACTTCACTCCTTAAATCATCGTCGCTATCTGCAAGAGGTGTAGGCCAACGAAATGTTGGTTTAAATCCTTCGTGCACAAATGTCCGCCAAATCTGATGGACGTTTTCCCAGTCATCAGGGAATCCATTGCAAAATTTGCCTCGAATATAATCCGGTAATTCTACGCAATTGTATTTCAATTTTAGATATAAAAATATATAGAGAACTATATGAAATGGTGTATAACCATGAAAATACAAGATATTCAAAATCATTTACCATTCCCTTCGTCAACAATGTCTCCTTTTAATTGATAAATATGTTTGAATACAGACTGCACTTCTCTTGATGTCAACCTCCTTAGAATAGGTTTGCTTCTAGCAATTTGTCTACTAAAATATTGAAATCAGACACATATTAAATTAAAACCACATATTTATGTACATGCACACTTACCGATCTATTATTCCTTGAATGATCAGTTGGCCTTGTTCATTTAAAGCAACTTTCCATTGAGAAAAGACTCTAACTTTTCTATTTTGTATTATTTCGTTAGAACTAATTTGTAAAGAACCAAGAATATTTCTTTTAGGGGATTGTTTATCAACATCAGACGAATTATCTTGAAACGTTGATATAGTTCTAGCAGTATTGGATACCGATGTGCTATTTAATTTCTTAGAAGCACAAGAAGGCGGTTTAAAATTAAGCGGTGGCTTCATAAAATAATCTTTCTCAGAATCATTTGTATTACTAAATTTTTTTACGCTTGATGTGCAAATATTTGAACGATTATTTCTTATATCTTTCTTTTCCAACACCATATTTCTGAAGTTCTTACACGAAGAGATAACCTCGCTACCAGTTTTGGAAGCTTGTAAACATGGAACATTAATACCAGAATCGAATGCATCCGCATTGATACTGGAAATACTCGGTGACATGGGTAAAGCCCATGATTCGTCTCCTTCTTGTGTATGCCCTTTTCTGAGCGTGGCAATCTTCAAAGCTCGTTCTAACTTCTTGAATCGTTTCTCAATTAGATAATCTGAGAATTTCGTCTGCACAAGCAAAAATAAATTTAATACTAAACAGTTAAAAATGAATATAACGTTGGACGTAAACAATTACCTCTGTCGTATGTTCCATTTGTAGAAACTAGTGTCGATCATTTACGCATATTCAATATTTATTAAATCACGTTAAATCCTTTTATATTAATAACAATGTATTCATATTAAACGCTTCTTTTTGTACGTCAAAATCTAAGAAATCAGTTCATTAAATAGTATTTATTTGTCACTCGGCTACCGGGGAAGATAAAGGTTATTTTAACTTCTACAATCTTCTATTATCTATTAAATTAACAAAATTTTCAAGCATAAATATTAGAAGAAGATTCTTAACATTCTCAAACAATTATTTTACCTTAATTTCTGTATTTCGATCCGCATGCGTATCACGCACTCAGTACGCGCGCAATTTCGACACCCTCCACCACGTACTTTAAGGTTTTAAACGCGCAACTGTTTTCTCTCTGTACAGTGGTTCTCAATTTTATACCTACACCACAAATCATCGATGATTTAAACGTGTCGGTAAATAAATACTGTCGATGAAGTCGTGTCGGTAAAATGGTTCACGATGAAATGATTATCATGCCGAGAACGTGGTACATATCATCATCATTAATACAAAATCGTAGTATCAAGTGGTACTTTAGATATAGGGGCGTGTATCGTGAAGAGAAAAAAGGGAAAAAGAGAGAAGAGACGTTTAATTTAATGATTCTTTACAATTATAACAAGTTTTTCCTTTGCACATCGTTATATCGATGAAAATATAACGTATAAATTGTTCGAACTGACAAAATATCTAGACGTAACACCGACAGCAGCTTGATCATTCACTCTAAACTTCTATCTATAAAAATCATACGAAACCTATCGCAATAAATAATATTCAGTAACCTGAAAATAAAAATTCAATACACGTACACACTGCGTTGGAATATTACACGTGTATCAAGTTTAAGCTTTGGTCAATTTAAGCCTGAGAAAACTAACATTATATAAACGTTGGTCGCATTATTTTTTTTTCTTTTTTTTTCTTTTATTATTATCATCGCCACCATCTTCATTATCATCATGATCATTCCTTAAAAAAGAAGTACGTTATTATTCCTTTCCACAGTAAGAAACGAAACGATCCCAGATTTTTTTTATTCTCTTTAACTCGCGGTTAACCACAAGTAATTGTATTCACTCATTATCACTGATTCGTAAAGCACAGATATTCTACCTTTACAATGGTAGTCTACGATGAGTAAAATTGGACTAGACTTTCACATTAAAGATCGTATAATCTTAATCGAATATCATCAGAGCTATATCCTATGGTAAGCTATAGGAATGTAATTTTAATATTACTCGTTCAAAGCGGGTACAAGAAAAAGTAGATTATTCCTCTTATTAACAAATATATCGCTATTGAAATGTTTCCTTACAATCACTTGTATTAGACAGAGAACAAAATGTCTGCTACGCATCCCTAATATTTTGGCAGACCGTTTTCTACTTTTAAGATTTACTACCCATCGAATTATCTGCTTCTCTCGATCCCTCCGCCGAATCTACGAGTTCTTTATGATGATCTTTAGAATTTCTGTCCTTATAATCCCGCCGATGATGATGAGAATTGTTATGATGATGGGGATTGTTATGATGATGATGATGGTGATGATGGTGATGATTATTATTATCGGTATCTCTGCGATCTTTCTGTGACGTTTGAACCCTATATTTTCGGTTAATTTTATCAATTTTATCACGACAGAAATTGTGGTATGCGTGTATCGGGTGAAATGGGAGTTCGGTAATTACCGTATCCAATGACATATTATCGTTTTGAAGTTGCGGTAATACCGTGAAGTCCACTTCTGACTGATGATCTTGTTTATCGTGCCGATTCCTTCCGTTCCTGTGATCACAGAAATCAAGATAAAATCATGAAACGTTAGAAATCGATATTTCTCATATTTTACCTCGGCGTCCTACGATGCCAGTAGCTCTGACTCTGTAAAGGTGGGAATTTGTGAGGAATTTGTTCCTGCGTGGAACTTGTAGGAGATCCACGATTGTGATGACTATTATTACTATCACGAGAACGGGCACCTTTATTAGCATTTGCAGATGCTGCTTTTAACGTTGCAATTTCTTTCCTCTGATCTTCGTTCAGCTTGAGTAACAGTTTTACAGTCGCTTCTGAACCTTCCAAGCGTGTCGCTAAGTCTGTCTGAGCAGGATTTGTCGTGTTCGCCGATGCTGCTTCCAGCGTTTCAATTTCTTTCTTCTGATCCGCGTTCTGCTTGAGTAATTGTTTTACCATCGCTTCTAGAACACCTAAGTCTGCCTCGACGGGATTCAGTCTAGGACAATCTACTTGAACTCCTACGTCCGTTACCAATTGTTTATTCGGTTTCTGTTCCTTCGAAGTATCCAATTTCCTAGATCGAGGAGAATTCTTTTTATATTAACGAGCAATAAACACAGTTCATGTCAACTGTAATTACTAACTTTTTCTGTTGTTCAACGATATCAGATAAATACTGATTCTGGGTTTTAGCTTCTTGTAAAGATATCTTAATGTCTTGTAAATCTTTCTCCAACAGTTCTACCTGTAAAGGTGCGACATTTACGCATACTGGGCTACCCTAAAATGGGAACAGTACGCGATTCATTATCTTCTTTTAATCTCGAATTAATTACTACAATTTAAAATTGTAGAAGTTACCTTTGCTTTCACGAACCCAGTTCCATTATCTTCAGGGGAAGAAGGACTGCTAGGTACAAACGCAGATCCCTTTGAGAATACTAATTGAAATTGTAAATCTGTATATAAGCAGAAAGTGTTAGAACTTCATCTTTTCCTTTTGTGAATAGAATAAAAGTGTTAATGGTATACGATTTACCTCTATTCCTTTGACGTAGAGAATCAACTTCTAGATGTAAAGCAACTAAAGTAGCTTGATGTTGCTCTTGCAAAAATTTCATATTTTGTTCTAATTGAGCTACTATATCCGCAGGTGGTTTCTTTCCCTTAACGAAGAAACAATTCGTATTGGACTTTGCATTCAAAGTGTTCACGGTATTATTCGAATAAAGAGAAAGTTCTACTCACTTGAGAAGGAAAAGTTATTGGTGGTACTTTCTTTTGCACTGGTGGTACTTTCGGTACTGTTGGCAATTCGACCAACATTTTCGATTCCATTCTTGAACTATCAACGCTTAATTAAGAAGACAAGACATAAATATTTATTGCTGGAAATATTTATGAAGATAAAATTTTGCGTTGTAAATGTTGATGAGCGGAGTAAAGAAGCTTGTCCTTAAGAAATAATCGCACTTCCAAACATCTAAAAACAATACATAATGAACAAAAAGAATATATATCACGTTGAAACATTAGTTTCAAAATACAACTGAACGACGTATCTCATTATCGCATAATTTAATCAAAATAATTTTTAGAAATCGTCAATTGGTTTATACATTCGAAAAGTACACGAACTGAATATAATTTTACAACAACAAAATATCACATCGTATTATTGATACACGGCGATAACGTTCTTTCGTAAAAATTAAAATCATCCCGCGCCGCTACATCGTCATTCAGAGTATTTTAATGATATTGAATAAACGCAAGCGATACAAGCTTCGATTGAATGCGGGACAACGAAAAAATAGTGCGTGTTGTCAAAAGGCAAATCATGCTGGCACAAAATTGTAAAATTTCTCTTTTATACATTACCGAGTGAATTATATTTAAACCGAAATTCGGCGTGCAAAACGAAAGCTGAAAATTCGTCAGGACACACGATATCGGGGCCTTGGTGGAGCGTGATTCTGCGCCTGAATTTTCTGACGTCACTTGACACCAACCAAGGATTGGTTAATGCTTTACCAACAATGGTGGACGTCGAATTTTACCGATTAATTATTGCGGACAACGTGTACGATTTTAAAGATTTCTAAGACACGCCGAACAGAAGGGAAACGAATCGATGGTGCACATGCACCGATATATGGAAATAAAATTTCTATCGGTGTACTCGAGGAATAGAAATTGCGCTTATCATTGTCGAGCGAACTCGAGGATTTTCAAAACAACCGCGTAAAAGGTATAGATCGTTAGGTGAAATTCTGTTCGGATACGCAGGACAGTACCTGTTCGCAAGACCACCTGTGTTTTCTATGTCCTTGCGGACGGGAGTATTGATCCAATAACATTTAACATATGATATCACACCATAGCCGCGCCCATGTCTCCCGACGATTTTATTTTCACATTTATTAGCAGATAATATCTGCGAGATTTCGTTATGAAAGAAATGGCGTTTTGCTTATTTCACGAAGCGAATTAGACGAATGGAATTTTTCAACTTTCTACAGATCTGCGTATTTCTGTATTGAAACAAAAGCATTTTTTTTGGATTTTGACGTAAACAATGATTTTCGTGAATACTGAACAGCTTTAAATGATCAAAATGCCTACGCTGTATACGTTGATACGTTTAAATACACGTGTCCACTGAAAACGCGCGCGTACCGTAAATACGAATTTCAGATTTCAATTTGAAAATACTCTGAAGTATTTATGTTACGTGACTGAAACATCGAAATTCCATTGCCAATTTAACTCCTGTTCGAAACTGAAAAGAGTACACCCTTTTTTAATTCTCTTCCCATTGCCATTCGAAGGAAAGTAGATTCATGTTTAATTTTTTCAGAATCTGCACACAATTTGACATTCGTTCTTTAACATATCGGACACGCATGAGAAATTTGGTTAAATTAATTTCTGAATCTTTGACGTGATAAAGGAAAAATGGCTTGTTTAGTAGAGCACAGGGAAAGTAATGAAATAATTAATAAAGATAGAGTGCATTTACCATCTTTTAAAATGGAAGAAGAGTATAAGTTTAAGGTATCTATGTGTATTATTTACAGTGTTTATATATGCTAATAAATTGATGTAGTTTATATTAATGTAAAATTTATCATAGTACACGCCTGAAAGTCATTTTAAGCATGTAGTAAAAAATGTACAAAGGCTAAGGCGCAAGGAGGATGAAGAACGTATCTGGATGTCATTCGTTAAAGAACAGGAGTTAAGTAATCTAAGGTTCTCAGAAAAAGACATTCATCCGTCTATAAAAGGTATCAACGATCTCTTACATGACAATATGCAAGATGTGGACAGGGAACTTAAGAGACTGCAAGAAGATACTCTACCCGAACGAAATAAAGGAATTTGTATCTGTAAATCTAATAACAGAGATGAAAATACTGCAAATATAAAGGTACGTGTTTCTTGTGTTTTACATTCAATTATTGCATTATCTAGAGAAAGTAAAATTTACATTACTTTCTTAAATACTAGACAAACAGTATACAAAACTATTCTCCAAAGCAAAAATCACAAATAAGAGACAGAAACGAGTGTGATGCTAATATTTTAATTCCAATAACACAGGAGGATAATGTTACAAACTGCCAAGATCCTAAGGCATTTAAAAAAGTTCTGAGATCAAAGACCAAAAAATCTGTATCAGATTCTTCCATTATACGAAAAAAGCATTACACCAATCAGTTTCTTCGAGCAACCAATCACTTGATTGAAAATGATTCAGATTCGGACATGGATTTGAGTAATGATAAAATCGATACTGTTCATATACAAGCGGATCCACTTACAATACACAAAATTCTCTCAATGCAAAAAAAGATTTCTGAGTTATTGAATGAAATTTCGTTTAGATTATCCAGAATTCCTCTGCCAGATGGAAATAATGATCTGAAAAGAAGACAGCAACAGACTATGGAATTTGCTATTAGGTTCTCAAGAAATTATCTGTACAATCTTAACAGACTTGTTACAAGTATTCAAAGGCATATTGGCGCTATATCCACTAAAACAAGACTACAGCATTATCATAGAAGTGTTACATTGCATCGTGATATGATTAAACAAAAGCTGATTGCTGCTCATCAATTATTAATACAAGCTTTAAATGCCTATTGCAAGCATATACCGAACTCTACTTCTGAAGGTCATTCTACAAAGCTTCAAAATGTGTTACAGATCGTCGGTAACTTAAGAGATATTTGCAATAAAGTTGATATCTCTGCCAATCATTTCTGCTCAGGAGATATGAATGCTTCATTAGTGGTACATGTTGATTGAAAATAGTTTGAATAATTTAGAGACAAAGTTCTTTACAAAGTTCTTGATTGCAGGAAGATGATCTTCAAGCTGACATTGACACTATCTTGTCGAAATTAAAGTTGAGTTTAGAATGTAAAGAACAACCTGCAAGTCATAAGAATATTGAACCTACAACATCTCTTACAAGAACATCTTTACAAAATGGAAAACAGACGAACAAGAAAAATTTATCTAGTCGATTAAGCATGTATAGTATAGATGTACCTAAAACTAATCAAAGAAAAAACACAGAGCTAAGAGGGAAAAGTACATATTTGCTTGTTGTTGATTACTATATATCACATTTGAAACATTTTAAACATGCAAATTTGTATTTTTCAGAGCATGGTTACCAAGGAGAAAAAAAATATAAAGTTGAAGACGTAAGAAACGTACACAGTCAACAATTTACAATACCCGAGCTACTGTATCCTAGTCCTGCTACACACACGTCATCTTCTAAGGACACCGTTTTGATTGATTGTACGAAAAAGGCGAATTACTCAAAAGATGACGATATCAAAACTATGATGGATGAAATACCAATTGATTCTGAGAATGTAAGATATGTTAATAATAAACTTAAATATGTTACAGTAAGTGTTAAAAATATATGATTTTATGAAATAGGATAGTAACATAGAAATTCGGAGCGGACGTAGTAATATAGTGAAAATGGAACAGTCTAAAGGAGTACAGAAGAAGTCATTTACAGAAGTATGGAAATCTAAGAGTACAAAAGATAAAGAAACAGATCCTAAAGTACAAAATGTTTTAAATGATGATGATTTAGTAAAAAAAGTAACTACAATTACCAAAGAACATTTGTCCACTCTAGTCCCTGTAATAAGTGATTTAATGACTCTTATTTCAAAAAAGGTAACACTGTACGAAAATGCTAATGCACTAAGTAAATAAAGAAAATATCAACCTCTATAGGAGAAATTATAACTATACTATTGGTTCTATAAAAAAATTAAATAAAATTTTTCTTAGAAAACTGAGGTGGATACACAGCCTATATCCGAAACATCTATGGGAACATTAATGGAGTTTCTACAAAAACATCAATCCCCTAAAGATTTTGACACTAAAACGATTTTAACAGATGCTGGTGATAAATGTTCATATTTTACAGCAACTAGGTAAATATTTATAGAATAAACGTAACAAAAAGTCATATTACTCAGGTAAAATAGGATCAAATATTTTTTGACTCTGTCATGACAGTTTATCCGAAGTTCAGAAGCACAATAACAATGTACAACTGATTTGTATGTCATCCGTGGATAAAACTTCTGAAACAAAGCAACGTGATGTGTCGTGTCAAGCAGATGAGACTGCACTAAAGGTAAGTAATGTAATGAAACATGTATGTTATTTGAAGAAGAATTTTATATGGTGTTAATAAATATACAATAAATTTTTAGATACTCAGTGATACAAGAACACCGTGTTCGATTACCAAACATAAATTGAAACTCACTACTTCAGAAGAAACCAAACAACGAACTCTAGCGTATAGATATAATTATAAAAAAGTGTGTCAATCGAGACCAATGTATTCTAGCAATACCCAGAATAAACCGTGGGATATAGTAGCATGGTAAGACCATACAATATTTTGATATTTCCCTTTATAAATTTTGGGTAACACAAATTATTTGAAGCAGGATATCCGATAAACTAATAGAAGAATTAATAAAGGAGGTAACAAAAGATTTAGGAGTGAACGACTTGATACAAAAATTGTACGACATGGAGTTTCAAGAATTTTAAGAATAATTAACATTGAATTAATCTAGAATATCATATTCACGAAATCAATCATTTTTAAAACGTTTTTCATTTGGGATGCAAATTTTTTAAATAAACTATAATTTTATACATCGATGTATAACTTATTCTCTCATGTTTGTTGTGATTCAACTGGAATATACATATAGTATATACATATACGGTACAATGTAGTAAGTACTAAAATGTATCTCGAATGGCGGCGACCACACAAAGGCAACATGGCGGTGAAACTAACCACTTCATGATACTTGTTACGAACACAGTAATCATTGGTAGCAAGTGTACATAAAAATACGAAATGAAAAGAACGGTTTTGAAATTGTACAAAGACATATTGCGATACGGTGAAAATTTAAAATACACCGATAAAAAATATTTCCGGCAAAAAATTCGTAAAAGCTTTAAAGAGAATAAAGGGTTAACCGACGAGGAAGATATAACTTTCGCATTAAAGGTAAAATTAACGTTAATATACTTCAAATTTCTGTTGAAATAAAAAGCTGAAACATCTGCTATTTATTTTACTTAACCTAAAAGAAAGTACATTGTTATTATTCGCAAATATTTCTTTTCAGAAAGGGCAGCAATTTTTGTTACTACAGCGGGTCGTCTGAGTGAACCGTTAATGCGAAGATAAACATGTAATTGTAGTTATAAAAATGTTTAAATTTGTATCACAGAAAAATGATTTTATTCGTTCCTTCGTCGGACACGTATCCTCGTTCAGTATCAATCAAATCAGTACCGATCAAATTCGATATAAATCTTACAAGCGGTTCCTAGATTACTCGAATGTGCCTGAACTGAATGACGATGATCTTCAAGAGCAATTCGTGAGGGGATCCGGACCTGGTGGTCAAGCGGTCAATAAAACGTCAAATGCAGTAGTCCTGAAGCACAAACCAACCGGTTTAGTTGTAAGGTGCCACGAGACCAGAAGTTTAATACAAAACAGGAAAATTGCCAGGGAAAATATGCTGACGAAATTGGACAATTTAATTAACGGTGAAAACTCCTTGCAAAATCAAGAAGAGAGGCTTAAGAAGAAGGATGCTGTAAAGAAGAAACAAAAACAAAAGAAATTGGCGGCCATGAAACAGGCGTTCGAGGAAAGTAACAATCCCAAATGAACACCATCATTTGAGAAAAAGATAATTACCTGTAGATACAGATTACAGCGAAAGCGAGCACCTAGGTAAAGGGTGAAAGTAATCACATACAACATTTCTTTCAATTTTAATGGAAAATTCATATCTTTAATAGTCATCTCTTTTTTGTAATCATGAAAGGCTTACATTACTTTTCTTTGAAATAAAATATTTAGGTGGACCCTCCGCGAGGGGATTTAATATTTAATGTTTACGTACAATGATGCGTTTTGTAACAGAACATGATCAGTACACGCTACGATAAAGCTTCCTTATGCAGCTTCGCGTGATTCCGGGACTGTCCACTGCGAATGGAGTGAAAAAAAAGGAAAAAAAAGAGAAAGAAAAAACAATCATCTCCTTTGTATGCAATTAAGGTATCTCCCACGCGTATTACCGAGCGAAGCAAAAAAAATAATGCCAAGTCTTTTGGTGAACACAATAAGATCCATACAAACGGCGAATTTCATGTTTACGAACGCAAAGGCTGCAATATAGTACTCAAAGAGAATGTACACGGTCCCAGATCGAACCAATACCGGAAAAAGACACTATCATGTATATTAATAAAATCCTATCGATGGGTGCCAATAGCGTTAAATACTATTCTCTACATACACAAATAATGTTTTATACATAATGTACAGTAGTCGCGAGGGGTTGTACGGTGTAGAAATTTCAAGAGCGAGACGTCCGTGGAAAATGTGTGTGTGGCTCGGTCTTGAAATTCATACGTATACAACAACAGCAGCGGCGGCGATGGCGGCAGCAATGGCGGCGGCGACGTAACTCTTTCATCGAGGATTTCAGCTGCTCTTCAGCCACCTACCGAACTGGCCGCGACCGGTTTTCAAGCGTTTCTTCGGCGGCTGAACGTTCGACCGCGGCGAACTGGAGCTTCTCAGCCGTCTGTTGCTCGCGATCGTCACCGACAGAATACTATGGTCCATGTCCACCTGCTCGTCGATCTTCATCATCCGCACGACCGGCTGAAACTCTATGCTCGACCGCCTCTGCTCGAGCTCCGAGGTCGGCATGATCGTCGGGCTGACGCGACCCGACAGGCCGCAGTCGACCTCGGAGTTCTGCGTCTCCGAGGACACGGCGTCCGCCCGCCTCTTCACGCCCCGCAGGGTCTGTTGCTTTTTACAGGTAATACTTAAATAGGAGTCGTCCTTGCAGTTCTCGTTCTCCTCGAACACCGTGTCGGAAGACATGTTGTTCCTCTTCGCGCGCTTCCTCGAGTAGATCCGCCTCTTCGCGGCGACCTTGCCGACCTTGCTCTTATATACATTGTTACCGTGCTCCATCTCCGAGTCGGGGTTCTCCGGATGGATCTTCGGCTGCCGCTTCCTGGACAGCCCGTTCGGGCTGTGGCGGTTCCTGGCGACGATGCCGGCCTCGGTCTCCTTCCTGCACAGGTTCTCGTGGTTCTCCAGCTCGGCGCGCGACTCGCAGCTCTCCGGGGCCGCGCTGTCGCGCTGGTGGCGCTTCTTCAGGGACGCCTTCGACACGAAGCGCCGCTCCGTCAGCGAGTTCACGTCCTTGCCGAACACGTGGTTCTCGTCGTTGCCGGGGTCGTTCTCCGAGATCTCCTCGATGCCCGACAGGTCCTTCTTGAACGCGTAGTCCTTGGCCAGCAGGAAGCTCCTCTCCGCCTCGCACGCGTCGCCGGCGAACGGCTCCGCGCAGGGCTCGGTCGCGAGCGGAGCCGAGTTGCCCGGGGACTCCGCGCGCGCCTCCTTCCTCTTCGCCTCGTCCTCGTCGTGGCAGGCGTTGCACGAGGCGCCGGAGGTGTACACCTTGCACAGGTAGCCGTCGTCGTCGCGACGGGCGAGCGTCACCGACTCGTCGTGCGACATGCCGGTGGCGACGACCGCAGTGGATATCCTGGTCGCTTCCTCGACCAGTCTGTCTAGGGCGTTGTCCTGCGCGTCGCGGCTGGTCTCGCTCCGCTCCACGTTCTTCCTGGACAGGTTCTCGTCCGCGTCGACCGAGTGCTTCGCCTGGAGCTTCTTCTTCATCTTGATGCCAGGCCAGCCGGTCCGGTTCTTCCGCTTTTTCCGCCGCTTCGAGGGCGACTCGACGGTGCCCTCGCCGCACTCGGAGCTGGCGCAGGACGAGTTCTCCAGGCAGTTGACCACCTCGTGGCAGTTCTCCAGCAGCTCGAGCAGGTTCGGCGGCGGACCCTTGGGGATGCTCGGCTCGTAGAGGTTCAGCTCGACCTGGGCGGTGGAGGGCTCGAAGGAGTCCTCGAGGTCGAGGGTGTCGTTCGCGTTGAGCATCTCGTCGATGGTCTTCACCATCTCCTTGAGGTCCTCGTCCAGGTCCGACTTGACCTCGACCTTGTGCTCCGACCTCGGCGTGCTGGATGCCTGCGAGCCGACCGACTGGCACTCCTCTATCGTGTACAGGTGCGACGTCTGCTGCTGCTGCTCCCTCTTCCTGATTATCGTGGACATGATGGCCAAGGTGGACGCGTGACAGCGGGGGCTCTTCCTCGGCGAGCGGCCGACGCAGCCGGCGCTCCTGCCGCGACCCTTTCTCCTGCTGTCGCTCCTGTGCGGGTTCTTCGTTAGGACCTCGTGGAAATTGTCGATCTCGTACGGCAATAGAAACGGCTTCTGCGAGTCGCCCTCGCTGAAGTAGTGCCAGAACTCGGCGCCCTCGTCCTGCCGCTGGTACGTCTGATACCAGGGCTCGGACTTCGGCACCGCCTCGAACGAGAACTGCATCTTCTCGACCTCCGGCGAGGGTTTGGACGGATATACTCTCTCCTGCTCGTCTGCTGCTTGTACTTTGTCGGCGGTCTCCTCCGGTCTCGCCGGGTCCCCGGCGGCCGACGGATCCTTGATGCCGGTCAGTGGCGCCTGATACCTCAGTCTGCTGCCGGGCGTCTCGAATTTGTAGTAATCCTCGTTATCCTTGATGAGCGCCTCGGCCTGCGTCCGCCTCCTCTTCCTGGCCCGGCCCAGGCTCAACGAGTCCTGCGAGTCCTCCTCGACCGGCTCCGATTTGATCGGCGAGCCGCAGCCTACGGATGAACTGGGACAGACGGAGCTCGGAGCGTCGTTGTACTCACTGTCCGTCTCTCTGGGCAGCACGCTGCTCTGCTCCTCGTCGCTCGCCTCGCTCGAGTCGTCCCGCCTCGGCTCGCCGAACATAAAGGACTCTGCCTCGTCGCTGAGCAACGACAGCTCCGACTTTCTGACGCGTTTGAACCGTACCACTACCGGCTTTTCGCTAGATGGCACTTCCTTTTTCTCTTCGTCGTCGGCATCCTTCGGCACTGTACACTGCGAATTATTGTTCGATACTATACTTGACCGTAATTTACTTCCTAACACTTCCACTTTGTAATACGCACGATTGTCTTCGATCAAACGTTCCTCGACGGAGAGCCGGTGCCGGCCACGGAAACTTCTGCCCCCCCGACGGCCGGGCTTGAGATATCTCGGTTTCTCGATTTTCACGTCGCTCTTGTCCGCATCGTGTTGCAACGGTTTGCTGGACTTTAACTCGTCCTTCACGACGTGACCGTTGCAGACGACGACCGTGCCCGCCGCGTCGGCACCGTCGCACAATTCCGTAACCTTTCTCACACTCGACGCGACATTGTCTACTTGTAGCTTGCCGTTCAACCCTCTGACCGTTTCAGTTCTAGATAGTCTGCAGGAATTGTTACAATTGTTCTCATTTACACTTAAAGTATTTTCATTATAATTACATTTTACACTACCGTTTGTTTGATCGTGATTTCTATAATGTACAGGATCTCGATCCTGTTTTATCAACTCCGTGCTCGCACTATTGTTCTGTTCGTTATTACAATTTATCGTTCTGTGCGGATCCTGATTGTCAGAATCGTTCTGCTTAGCGTTACACACGTCGCCGCAGTCTTTCTCGTTATCGCATTTCCCATCTAATTCCGGCGCGAAGGTATTTATCTTGTATTCGTTCGGTTTCGACTGGTTCAACACCTGCTCTTGGATCAAGTCGTCCTCCGGCTCGTCCTCCTCTATCCAGATCGTTCCTTTTGCTCGCTTCTTAATCGTGTAACCCTCGAACTTATCGTAAAACTTCTCCGTCTTCTCGACCTCGTGCCACGGGCTACCCTTCGACCTCAACAGGTGACCGCTCTCGTGTTTCGCGCGAGTACGTAAATTGTGGGGTGAACTTAATCTTAAATTGAGATTCCTCCGTGCACCGTTACACTGCACCATCTTTATGTCTTCGACCTCGAAGTCTCCCAGGCTTTTCGCGTTTCTGTTTACTTTTCCCTCTGGCAGTACTATGTCATGAAGATTGCGATCTCCATTGGAAAACAAATTGCAGTCTTTTCTGTGAGACAAAAGAAAGAGAAAAAAAAAGAACAGAGAAACGGAAGCTTATTAAATGACTCTCGTGATTGTACGTTCAGATGAAACATGAAATATTGAGTGTACTTACTCTATATCTTTTGTTCTATTCAATTTTAGAAATGCTTCGACGTTGGCTCCTGCATTAATCAGAGTGTCCAAAGACAAAAAATTGTCATTGTTCCGCACGAAACTGAGGTGTTGATCGCTCTGCACATGTTTCGTAAGGTCACGGTAACTGATACGGCAAATTTCACAATAACCAGAAGCTAACTGTTCAGTTCTGCGAGCACGAGTGCCAGTGGTCCGTGGTCGCCGAGTCATCTCTTTATCCTGTCCGTTATTCAAAGCATTATCGCGTGAACTATTTTACACGTAACAGGGCGATTAGTAACGCGCAACACGTATGCTCTAATTACCTCTTCTTCTTTGATAGGTTGAATTCGTTCTCTGTTTTCTTTCACTTCCGCCCGCAATCTTTCCGGCTTGTCGCGTCTTTTCGTGTTGAAGGGACAGGAGCCCGATTCCCCGGAGAAATTTAATGTTGGCCAGACAGGCAGTTCAATAAAGACTGGCCTCGTATTCCTGAATAATGTCACAATTGTAAAACACAACGTCACCTACAATTACATAATATCCGTAGAGAAACGTACCTCTGAAAGGCCTCGAATTTGATATAAGGTCCCTTAAGATGCCTGACCTTTAAATCCTTAGTTGAACTCTGTTGACAAGAATCCTTGGATCGCTTCAGATGATCGTTATTCCTAACGGATAAATAGATTTTATCGAGCCAAGCTTGAAGTTTATCGATCGCCCAAATAGGAATTCCCCAGCTTTGGGCGTTATAAAGTGGATCCACGGAACACTGTTGTGGCTGTATCAGAGCACGTTCCAACATTGCATCCACTCGCGATTTCTAAATCGATTCAAACCAAGATACAGAAAGTTAATATATATGTAAACACATGTAAGTTCAAAACATGACAGATAGCCATCGCTGGAACAAATTTACTTACGGATCTTTGGGTAGTTTGACCCCTCAGAGATGTCGAGTTGGACAGAGCGCAGTCGGGACTAAAATACGGCGTTTGAGGAGTTGGCACTGGAGTCGGAGTTTCTAAACTCCTCAGCGAGGGAGGTCCCCCGCTGCCTCCACTGGCGCAACCCCATTTATGTTTCTCAAAATTGATGTTACCCGACTTATTTACCCTGTCGCTGACCACCAGACTCACGTTTTGTACTAAAAATAATTCTATCACCTAGAAAGAGAGAAACAAAGGAGCCGTGAAATAGCTGAAAACGTTGAGACGTGTACAGGAGAGGCTTGAGATCCAATGAACGAGGCACACCGAGAAGAAAGCGAGCGTGAATGAAGGATGATGAACGCCGACCTCGGGGTAGCAACTTACACGGGTAACGTCGGTAGCTGCATGGAAACGAACGTGCACCAAGCGTGGACGCACGGCGATAGTAAGTGACCCGATGATGACGGACGCTCGAACAACACACGTTTACATCGCGGTATGCTGACGTCAAGCGGTCTCGTGTTCCCCTCGAGAGCGGCCGAGCGCGCTATCAGGCGATTTCGCGGAAGCGCGAGTTACCCGCGTGCAGACGGAAATGTTCGTGCAGTCAACAATGGTCGCCGCATTGTTACACACCGCTTGGTTCTAATAATACGCCGAGTCGCGGGGAACCAGGACAATAACGAAGCACGTGGGACAGAACGAAAACGGAATAATTTAAGGCGGCCCGATCGAAACGTTAACGTAGAAGCATCCCCTCCGGCCGAGCGTCCACGGGCGTCGAGGCGGCCGCCGAGTTTCCACACGGTCCGCTGTCAAACGGTCTCGAAACGCACGGAACCATCGCACAAAACAACTTCCTCGGACGACACTGTTTATCGGTCCGCGGATCGACGAATATTGCGAAGTATGCGTCGGACAGCCCTCGAAACGCGATCCGCGAGGGACGGCACCGAGCGGGATGGTTTCTTGGGACGTGTCTCGAGCGGTCAAACGAAAGTAAAGGGATAAAGGAAAAGAGCGCTGGGACGCGCCGCGGGATCGTTACTCGCGGGGGAGAACTGTCACGCACAAAATGGCCATTCGCCGTTAACAGCTTGGCGAGCGAGCCTGGAGGCGGCGCTTCGCGTTTCTGCTCGCTCGGGGACGGCGGACCGAACGGCGAGCCGAGCTGGCCACTTTTACCGAACACGCGAAAATCTCTTCCCGTCGGCTTTCCACGTCCATTTTTCGTTTTATTCCCCCAACCCGCCGCGCAACAACACAACAACACCACCGACGATGACGAATCCGGCCCACTTCGTTCTATTTCCGTGGCTAACCTAAAGATGGCGCGACGCGACCCGGTTTTTCAGCGATTGTTTGTCAACAGAAGGCTATTTTACAATTTACACGCTGAATTATTCAACGTCGCGGCCGATTCGGTAACGCGCGGCCTATTTATTTCCGACGATCGTGCCGCGCCGATACGGCTCGCTCGAAGGAAAAAAAAACCTTTCACCGGGAACCGACGATCAACGTTGTTGCATTTTTCTGTACGCTTCATTTTTCGTTCTGTCACATTTCTCCATTTAATTCTCCTTTCGACCGATTTCGTTTTTTATTTTACACGAATTTTTCTCTCCCGCGTATCGCTCTTTGGTTGAATGTATCTTTTTCGGAATATCGCACGTACATTCGAAATTTCGAATCGAACATATATATGTATATGTATATACGTGCACCCACGCTTCGAGGGAAGAGTTAACGTCAACGAGATATACAAACGGACATTGAAAATGGCGGGAAGGAGAAAGCAAACGGTCATGGGAGAGAGATGGGAAGAATGGGGGGAGGCTCTCGAGCCGTCAACGAAAAAAATTGTTGACTGAAACGCGCACAAATCGTATGCAGCCGAGTGTGGTCGACGGGGAAAAAAATGAACGGGACACGGATGAAAAATGCTATCGCTTCGCGAGCAAGATTGCCACTTGAACGGAACACTTACCCCACCCAAATCTTTGATTCTCGCTTCTATTTTCGATGTGGTAGCATGGTTTTTGATATCCAGGTAAAATGTTTTCCCTTCTAACGGTTTCTGGTCTTTTTGTGCACGAGCATCTAGAACGTTAAGAAAATCTCTTAGCATCGACACGGTCGGGGAACACCGGGTATTCCTACGTGAACATACTTGTACATCACTGAATAGGTTAACAACAAATTAATTGCCGCGGTTCAATGAAATAAATCGTAGAAATATTTAACTCGTCACGACAGTTTTTTTTACAAAAATGCAGCGTTTAATTAAACTATTCGCTAAGATTAATATCTACACTGTCGAGATTGCATTGTTGACGAAGAATGAAATACCGAGTACTTCGATCGATCAGACTTAGCAGAAACTATCGTACGATGAGATCATCGTGTAAATGTCAAGGGACAGGTGCATTTACTCATTTGAATGGGAAAGAATCGGTTTGAAATAAATACGCGAGCTGTTGTAGCGGACGTAAAGGGGTAAACGCTCGACGTAAAGATTTCGGTCCTACGTAGACACCGCTCGTGCGTGCTAAGAAATTCCTATGCGCATATATTAGACGTACGTGACTGTTTGTTGAATTTATTTTCTCTCGATGGCTGCTTCTGCTCTTGATGTTGAATTTTGGACGGAGATACCATTCCTATGCTATACACCGCACGCACAACAACTATATATTCCCTTCACTATATTTTAGTATTTTCGAAACACTTCCCATTCTCATGAGCGTGCCGCATACTATCACGGATACTCTCCTGCATATTCACTGGCTGCATTCGTTATCGGGAAAACGCATCCTCGGCCGAGATACTTCCCATCGAGACTTTTATTTTGTAACGAACATTCCCAAAAAGCCTGCACACCGCCCTGAACACATCGATGAACTGAAACTATGCATAACAGTTTGATATTTTAAACCATGAGCACACACGCACGGCTGGCCAACAGAAAAAATGTTCCTGTGTCCGAGTGGCACGGCGATCGTCGGATATTTGGGTCACAAATCAAATTTCACATGTTACTCGGTCCTCGTTGTTACTCGAGCCTTCAGATTTACTCATATACTTTCTTATAATCGCAGCGTAATCGGAAATGTTAAATTTGTACGTGTAGATTATTTAACAAGGAAGAACAAGTATCAGTAGATATTAGATATTTCCTGGAATTTAAATATAGGGATTTTTTCTACTTCCCGTGCGGGTTAACGCGCTTCGTGACTCGCAAGATGGCGCCTGCGATTCGGATCAGAAAAAGAAAGTGAGAAAGATTAATTTCACCTGGGTGTATGCAGCGCTTGTAGACGACAGAACTCGTGTAACAAATAACCTCACCTTTTTTAAACCTACAGATGGTAAAGAAGTCGTGGGATATTTAATAATTTTGTGTTGTTAACATTTGTGCGGATTTATTTTGAATAGATTGAGTTTATTCGGTTTTTTATTTGGCTGAGAGTGATCCAAGGAGAATTTGGTGTGCTTCTATTTTTTAAACGGTTGATTTACTTTAGCAAATGATTGTTCCAGTTTATTCTGTTTATGTGACCGGCCATAGAATATACGCGATGTAGAAGGAGTCCTCGCCTCGCTCAGTGACTTTCGACGAGATAGCGGAAGGAATTTAGATTGGAACACATTTGTCTGTCAGCGGTTGTGAAAGCGATTGCCGGGCGGGTGGATCATTGTAATGATCTATTCGATTAAACTCGTAGAATGTATAATTTTTTACGAAGTTTGGTTTTCGGGGTGCTTTTCTGCCTCGTGAGCACTAACCCATATAAACCGTGGGACGAGACTTCGCAGTCGATTGTTGCAAACTACAAAGTGCACATCGATGCCAGAAAAGAGGATTGTTACTTTCAATATGCTTCCGCTGGAGCTGATTTTTATGTGCATTTTCAGGTATACTAATTACTCTTATCTCTATCGCTTTATTCGAGTGACTTATATTTGCTCTGTGTATTTATTGCTTCGCATTAAAGACTCGTATGCCGTTTGAGAATCATTATTAATTAACAGTTCACCATATGGTTGTCAGAAACACTAATACTAGTGATAACAATGATGCTTTTGTTGGATACAACACAGCAATGTGTCTGTTACAAAAAAAAAATAGCTTAAAGAATAGTAAGATAAGGATAAAGCAAACGTATGATAAACGTGAAAAATATTAGATTAACTGATAAATTATTTTGATATAGGTAATACGTGGTGGAGATGGTAAAGCTGGCTTTTCTGTGAGGAACCCAGAAGGTACCTTGGATCATCCTTATCAATGGCTCTCTAGTTCAGGTTATCAGGACACAGTAAGAACTGCCGGCTACTATAGCATTTGTGTGAACAATCAATTCTCACGATTTGCTTCGAAATTAGTCAATTTATACATCTCTGTGATCAGGTAATGTATAAGAGTGTACATTACATACACGTTTCATTCAATTATGTTATCTTTGTATATTATCTTTCATAGATACGACGAATGGGACAAATATACCAAGGAGCTGAAAGAGTTGGATCTATCTGTTGATAATTTCACGGTAAGAACCTCTAACAAATACATAAAATCAAAGTATTCTGAATCACCTTTTCCTCTTACAGACCTCCATATCGAATGTGGAAAAGAATGTAAATGAAATGTTCCAAACTCAACATTTGAGTAGAAGCAGGGAGGCACGAGATTTGAATTTGTTGCTGGACAATAACTTTTATGTCCAAGTGTGGTCCATTACCCAAATCACGGTCATAATAATAGCAACGACGACGCAAATATATTACGTTCGAAAATTGTTCCAGGTGAAACCATCTAAATATTCGAAAGCAGGCATATAAACGAATTGGAATCCTGCGAATAATTAACTACATTTCTCGGAGATGACACCTAGTTTGCACAAGTTCCACTATGCATCCATAGCTTTCCTTTCTAGTATTCTTAGTTCAAAGTCGACTGTTCACTTTGCAACAGCATAATACTATATATATATATATACATACATATATATATATATATTTTTTTTTATATACGAAGCTATAAGAGCATACAACATAAGACTGCATTGCATTTCAGATTTGCGACGATGAGACGCAAATTATTACTCATTTTTACAGTTATCAGCATTTTAACATAAATGAACAAATTATATTTATGTATAATTGAATTTATTAAGAGAGAAACATCATTGTACTTATATGAGAATAATAAATAACGAAATACTTTTGTTATATTCATTTAGGTTTCACTCGACTTTCTAAACACGCGACTAAACCGTGCTCCAAGACGAAGAACGCTTAGGGGAATTTCTCAAGCAAAACAGTGGAAAGAAACGTGCAAACCGTCGAACACACTTTATTTGATATTGCACAGAATCTCTATCATCGTATATAACTTATATTTTATTCGGTCAGTAAAAGGCAGACTGTTGTTTCGCTTTCCGTTGCAACGCGCTGCCGTTTAATGCGAGGAGGCGATGTCGTTGCTTCAGATTTCTCGCGCGAACATGCTCGGAGGCGACTTCCTTCGTGTAGTTACCAGGAAACCAGCCCTGCTCGCCGTCCAACAATTTCTCACCGTGGAACCAACCGTCCGACATCTTTCTGAATACGTTTATGACGTCCCCTGCGTGGAAAGAAACATTTGCAACGTGCTCGTGTTCGACCCGGCGTCGTTTACTCAAGACTATCCTTCTTATTTTATAGATCTCGCCGCTCACCTGGATGCAACGATAGCTCATCCGGTTGAATCGACGAGTAACTGTACAAAGCGACCACCTGCGGGCAGTCCCAGACCTCGTAAAGGGTTTCTCCCATTAAGCCCCGCGTCAAGGGCGACACAGCTTCCAGCCACCTCTGCTTCTCCGTGTCGCTATCGCAAGTTAAAACGTACTCGGCCTGACGGCCCGAGTAATTTTCCAAGAGAGTCAGAAGCATCGCGTGGCGACCTCCGAACGGAGAATCTTCCGGCGCCGACTCCAAAGCGATCAAGCTTCTCTTACAGGCGTCTATCACGGAATACGTTTCGTCCTGAGTACTGTGGGTAGAAAGAGGGCGAGAGAAACGTTAGCGAGCTCCAACAAAGAATCCGCGCGGTTAATCCCTTGTCCTACGAGTGAGACTCGTGAAGATTTTCAACGTGATTCAACAAATATATGTATTACTTAGTTGATTCAAATTCAAAGTAAATATTATTCCTCTGGAATCAATTATTATACTTGAAAGGAGATATAGGCATAACGTATGCTTAGAATTTTCCTCTCTAAGAAATTATTAATGACAAAGTAGCCTATCGATCAGAGTTGAGAAATATATATATATATATATTACTCAGTTAATTCGAATTCAAAGTAAATATTATTCCTTTGTAATCAACTACTATACTTAAAAGGAAACATAGGCATAACGCATGCTTAGAATTTTTTTCTTTCTCTAAGAAATTATTAACGACAAAGTAGCCTTTAAGTATAATAATTGATTTGAATTCAAAGTAAACATTATTCCTCTGTAGTCAACTATTATACTTAAAAGGAATTATAGGCATAAGGTATGCTTAGAATTGTCCTTTTTTTCTAAGAAATTAATGACAAAATAGCCGTGTTGATCAGAGTTGAGGAAGAAATCATAGGCCAAGGGGTTGAGTCGAAAGCGGACTGGCGCGAGCGTTCGTACTTGGATTTGTATTTAGCGACTAGAAGGTAATCAGTGAGCAGTAAAAGGTAGAGCGGCGTTTTGTTGAACTTCTTCCCGAACGTGAGCTTGTACTCGGCGTCAGACTTCGTCAACAGCTGCACGACCGGTCCGCTTTTCACTAGGTGCTTCCCCTTCAAGGGGATCGGTGTCACTTTCGACGAGTATTCCAGTCTCCTGTCAAAGAAATCCGCTCGCCGTTAACAACGCTGCGCCGATTCTGTCCCGGAACGGGAAACGTTCGTTAGTTACCTGGTCAAATTCTCCATTTCCACTTCCTTCGCCGCGGCACGCGCGCCTTCGTTGCACTCGGCGACGACGCAGCTCAAGCTCGACAGCACCGTCTCCCAGCGGGATCTCTCCGCGTGCTCGATGGACAGTTTGGAGAGGACAGCGTCCGCCAGTAACGGAAGCCTGAACGAAACACCTCGTCGTTTAACCGTTTGAGCGCGGCGCCGATTTTGCTATACTAAAGCTTTGCTATACTAAAGCGGCACACTCAAACGGTTAACTCAGAACTTGTACTACAAGTTTAAGTTACAGTAACAATGATGATAACGTTCTCATCGCACAACGTTACATTACAGAGTCGAAGATCATACGTTGACGGCGATCTCCTACCTGGTTATCCGTTGCATCGGTAACATTAGAAAGGAATGCAACGACAAGCTGTGGCAAGCGGGGCGCGCTTCGACTTGCGCGACGGCCTCGAAGAACTTGTGCCCCCTTCTCGTTCTGGAACACGATTCGATGCTTTAGCGATTACTCTCGTTCGGTCTGAGCAATATTGCTAAGTTGAATGTCACCTTAGGTATATTCATTTCTAGCTTTGGGGAGAGAGCCATGTTCATTAGGAATTTTTTTCCAACGTACCAGCATTGCAGCTGGGTTTATCAGGGGGCTAAAGGCACACTGATACTGATGTCTGATAAGAGTCTCCTTAAATACGTACCCTGTTCATGTTCCGGATCGATGGTCACCAATTATTTTAACTGGTCAGCTGAACAATATAAGTATCTAGTTCATGTTCTGGATTAGTAATCACTAGTAGTTTTTAATTGGTCAGCTGAACAACATAAGTATCTAGTTCATGTTCCGGACCAGTAATCACTAGTAGATTTTAACAGATGAGCTGAACAATATAACTATGTGGTTCATGTCCCGGATCAGTAGTCACCAGTAGTTTATTTTTCAGCTGAACAATATAAGTCTCCAGTTCACGTTCCGGACCAGTAATCCCCAGTGGTCCTTAACAGATCAGCTGAACAATTAAAAGCAATAAAAAGCTGCTGACTACTGATCCAGAACATGAACCAAGTACCAATATAGACAGTCTCCATAGGCAATGTCTTCAACCCCTGCTGAAGCCAGCTGCACCGATGGCGAACCATTAAGACTAAATTCCTACTGAACACAGCTCTCTCCCAAAAGCCAGAAACGAAAGTAACACTCCAGGCCGTGAAAGCATCAAAGCTACTAGTCACCTCAGATGTTTGAGGGTGGTGTCTATGCTGACTTGATTGGAGCAGTAAGCGACGTAGATGTCCGAGCACTTGTCCGCGTACTTCAGTAGCACGTCCGACAGTCCGCGCAGCATCGGGTCCTGCCTCCACACGGCCTCCAGCTCCGCGAGGAACTGCTCCGACGCGTGCAGCACCGCGGGGATGCCGCCGAACAGCTTCTCCTTCTCCGGCGGCGTCAGCATCTCGTTGATCGAGGTCTCGTTCAGGAACTCGTTCTCTAAAACGCGAAGCGAGTTCAAGAACGAGGCCTCCGACGTCAGGATCTCGAATTTCGCCTCCTGAATCTTCCTCTCGTCCGCGCTTAGACGCTCTGCAAGCAAAACGGACGCGTTTCACGACTGAAGGATCGGAAGCTGGCTGCAAACGACGAGACCGCTCACGTAAAAGGTCGCTGCCCGAAACCTGCGGCGTGTGACACCATAGCGTCCTGTGTCCGGGTCTCACCAGGTCCGTCGCCGACTGCGATGGGGTCGTGTCCTCGACCTGCGATCAGAGAACACTTCATTTTATATCGATCCACGGAGAATCTGCAGATCTTCCCTAACTATTCATATTCATGATCGAAAAGTCACTCGGTTAACACTTTGCACTTGAAAGCTTTTCACTAGAAATATTCAATATTCTTCAATGAGGTACAGACGATGTTCTTTGAAACTAATTAACGAGGAACTATATATAAATTAAGAAGAAAAGTTATTGTATTTCAATATTCCACATATCGATGCATCATACAAAGCTTAATATTATATGTAAGACTTTATAATTTTGCAAATTAAATGACTGAGAGTCATCTCTCGAGTGCAAAGGGTTAATTACCGATAATACCAGTGGAAATCAGTTGCACAGTTCCCATACGCGAGCCGCTGGTTAGCTAACCAGTTAGCCGTATCCGCACGAACCTCGACGCCGTCACGCAAGGCGCAACAAAGTAGCCACGAAACTTTCTCGCAGAGTGAAACAGCGATTACCTCTTGGTAACTTTCAGAGTTGGAGTCGAACGCTCCCCTGGCTGCCGCTGCGGCGTAGAACTGATACAGCGGCTCCTGGTCGGCGAGGATGCTGTACGGGTCTGAAACGAATGTATAATGATAATGAGTAAAAAGTATGAAAAATATGTTCTGCTAGATTCACGGAACAAGAAACCCATAAGAAACACATTATACAGGAACAATCCTGGACGCGCCCCTAATATTATAGGAACTATCCCAGGGGAGTCCCCAGTATTGTAGGAATGATCCCGGGAGAGTCCCCAATGTGGTGGGATATTCCCTCACAAGTCGCAAGATCTTTACAGATCATCAAAGTACATCGTACAACCGCGCTGTATGAAGATACGAATAAATACCAGATTTTGATACTTCCGTGAACGCAAAATGTGGGTGTGAATTGTGCTTTACTGTCTCCTCGTTAACCTACACTCATCTCCCACACACTCTTCCTCGCATTCTTTCAGCCACTTAAGATTTTCCAAACGCAGTCACAATTTTCCGAACATCCCGCAGGTCCGTCGCGATACGACCTGGTCGCCCTTACGCACGCGCAACGAACCATTCGTCGTAAATACATACTCTCCTGAAACTCACCAGGTTCGCTGCTCGTGTTGCTGTAAATCGGTTCTTCCGGCGTGGCGCGGTCGCCGCTGGACCTGCTGGACCCGTTGCTGCCGTTGGCGAGCGAGGCGCCGTTCAGGTAGAAGGTCGATAGGCCGGAGACGCTCTTCTTGAAGTGTCTCGCGAGGCCGAAGTACCTGGCGGGGTCGAGGGTCGGCTGATGATCGTTGCACGAGGCGTCCTTGGCGTCCTCGTGCTCGTCGCCGGCCGAGGTCCTCCTGCGCATCCGGCCGAGGCTGCCTTTGGTGATGCTCCAGGTCCTGCGCAGCATCTTGATCCTCCTGCCGAGGGTCTGCGTCAAGCTGGCCTCGCGGGGCGGCGGAGGATTGGGTCTGGTCGGCGCTTCCAGGCTCGGCTCCGGGATTCTCGTGTCCGCGGCCCCCGTTTCCGGTTCCGGCTCCGAGCTCGAGCTGAAGTCGTCATCCGGCTGGAAGGAGCGGAGGCTCTCGTAGGTGCTGTCGTCGGACGCGTTGTCTGGAAAATGGTCCATCGTGAGTGGAGAACTCAAGGGCAACATTGACGGAGCTGGAGCTGGAGCTGGAGCTGGAGCTGGAGCTAGAGCTAGAGCTAGAGCTGGAGCTGGAGCTGGAGCTGGAGCTAAAGCTAGAGCTCTGAAAAGATAGAGATAGAGCTAGAGCTAGAGCTAGAGCTAGAGCTAGAGCTAAAGCTAAAG